CAACATCGGCATTAGCTGAAATACGACGTAAAAGGCACTATTTCGGTTTTTTTTCAACGTCTTTTTCAAGTTATCGAATATTTGTGGTGGTAGCCTACACAAGTATTAGAAATCGTTATATTTATGGATATTTCAGTCGTCTCTGAACCGATTTTGATCAAACAAAGATGATTTTGTATTTAAATTGTATATGTTCTTTCAAATTTGACACTCGGTTTTTCATTATCTCACAAAAAAACTATTTTGTGTAGCGCAGCTATGCAACAGAACTCAACTATATGAGTTTCTAAAACTTTAATTGACAAATAAAGTTGCCAACTATGCTCAGTAAGGTTTTACGAAACAGCCAATGGCCTATGTAGTACAATTAAGAATGCCAAAATGCATACTCCAAAACAAAGCTTGGTTTTATTCAGGGCTGCCAACCCTCCCGCATTTGGAGGGATCGAGTCTCACGCCACCACGCTCATTCTCCCGCTGCCCCAAAAAGCTCGTAGCGGAGACTCCCGCACCCACGCCTTCGATCCTCCCGCTCTCCCGCCAACGATGTAGAAGGCTCCCGGTTTATGAAAAAACCTCCCGTCAAACCGTACCGTACCCCCCCCCCCCCAAAAAAAAAAGTGCTCTTAGTAATATTCATTTTTGAAATAACTAATAAAAACAATGTTAAAGATAATTATATAAAGACAACAACATAGTAAGGAATCAATGACACATGTACGGTGTTAGTCGTAGAAGCACCCCCCATAGTGCCTACCATATGGGTGTCTTTTTATTCCTTCATTAAAAATCAAAAATATCATATCACAGGAGATCAAAAATGTATAGATTTCTAACCATGCATAGAGCTACTGCATGGAACACGGAACCAAGCAACCCTTCCCGCGATTAAAGATGGTGTAAAGGGGGAGGGAGAAAGAGGTAATGTGAAGAGAAGGTAATAGACCCCTTACATACCGTCCTCTTCGCATGTGATGCACCTTGTAAGCACCCCTAACCCCCCCCCCCCGCGAAGCTAGGATCTTATTTTAGGGGGGGGGGGGTAGTGAGCAAGCGCGCTCCCTAGGGGTAGGTGAAGGGCCTCCCGCGCGAAGGGCGAAAGCGTAGACGTTTCATTGAATTATTATAGGAAGTAGACGATTCGTTGTACCGTTCGCGACTCTTAACCCTAATTGTCTGAATACAGCTCGATCCCCCCCCCCCCCCTGTCGCGCGAAGCGCGGAAGCTTTGACGTTTCCTTAAACTATTGGAGAAAGAAGACGATGCGTTGTACCGTTCTCGACTTAATCCTTGTCTGAATGAAGTCCCCCCCCCCCCTCCCGCGCAAAGCGAGGAAGCTTTGGCGTCTCATAAAAATATTAGAGAAAAAAGACGATTCGTTATCCCGTTCTTGACTCTTAATCCTTGTTTGAACTTAGTTTCCCCGAAAATTTTAAACCTCTGATTTCTTTAGTTGATATTGTAGGAAAGTGAAACCTCGAGAAAATACAAGTATTATAGTTGTAGTCTCTCTTGAAGCCGTCACTGCGGATGAAAAGTCACATTTCATTTAAAGGAAAAAAACAAACTTGTCGGCCGACCGACATTATACATGTCACCGACTTAAAACTTCTGCATTGATATAGTACACGAGGATCGAGCAAGAATACCGACACAGCAAGTCGTTTTTCTGACAGACATTCAAGGAGATTCATATGGATTGCCTTTTCTATTATTTTGGATAAGACGGGAGAATGGATATCGGTCTATAATTACATACTTGAAATTTATCTCCATATTTGAAGATGGGTTGTATCTTGCTATTTTCCATGCAGCAGGCACTACACCAGTTGTCAGTGACAGATTGTATACGTGACACTTAATCCTTCATTCCATGTAGCGCCTTAATTTACCGGAAAACCCTTAATTTCTTTGTTTATAAATTCGCTGTCAATAACTGGCAAAATAAACAATTCTGTCGGTTCCGACAGATTATCTTCGGCTGTACTGCATTTTGTGGTTATCACTTCATCACTTGATGCTTCCGAAATTGTCGGGCAAACCTTTCACAGTTCTACTGACAAAATTTCTGAAAATGTTTGCTACTTCTCCTGAATTAGCTATTTCATTAATTTCCCGAGACTTGTAACGTTATCTTTTCAGAAACGTTTGCATTTGTTAAACTCTTTAATGTTTTCCATAGGGCACCAGGATTACCCTTATTCTCTTGAAGAAGAGAGTCAACATAATCCTTCTTTTGTTGATTAACCATCATATTGACTAAATTTCTGTAATGTTTGTATCTGTTCCACATTAAATCACTTTTGGTTTGTAGAGCTTTCTCATGAAAGTGATCACGAGTATAATTATGTATGGAATGGTGTCACCAGAAACCCATAGACAAGGATTCCTACGCATACGTTTAATTTAAGTGGTGCAAATTTATTTACAACTTCCATTGTTAGGTTCAACCATTTCTCCCACCAGGCGCGCCGGAAGCAGTTTGGGGGGCAAACATTCCCGGGGCTCACCTTCCAGGGGCAGTGCTGGCGTAATGAGCAAAGGCCATTAAGGTCATTGATGTGCCCAGGGGGCAGAGCCCCCGGATGCTCAGAGGTTTTTAGATATTTAACTACGATCAAATGAGCATATTGATACCTTATTATTTTGTGACATTATAGCAGGTCACTTATTGTTTCTCTCTCTCTTTCTTTCTTTTTCTCTGTAACATACTTTTTCAAAAAGTGAGGGAGGCCCTGACATGAAGGCGTCTAAATAAGCATATTTATCGCCCGACTGTAAATTTGGGAATTTCTAATTTTCCAACAAACGCATACAAAAATATGCCCCCCCCCCTCATCAGTACGCCAGCGTTCAGAGGCTCATGTCTTCTCACCCCTATTACAAAAAACACACACGCTTTTCCATTCTCTCACAATATTTCCACGATATATATCGCTATGATAAAAACCTCTATTGATAAATATAGGTGGCATATGCGGATCAATGTTTAGGAAATATTTAATTCCTGTTAACTTTCCTTTTCTTTGAATGGAATTTTATATGTGATTTAATTCAGGTTTTTATTATTGTTATTGTTATGTCCTTTCTCCTTAATACTGCTTCTTTCTTCTTCTTCTTTTTTTTTTATTGGGGGGGGGGGGGGCAAAACTGCCCCCCCCCCCCACCCCCACTTCCGGCGCCTATGTCTCCCACGCTTCATTGACATCTGTAATTTGAAATCGTTGAAAGGCCTTTGTGTCAGTGCATGAAACTACAAATCCTTAATAATCAAATTTTGGGAAATCACGCCATATATGCAGCTTATGTTTTTCAAGGGTTTGTGGCAACTGTCACCATAAAATGTAAAAGTAAAGAAATGTTCGCTGAAGAAAATTTGATATACACCAGCGACAATGTGTTTGTCTACGTTGGCAGAATATATATGATCAATTATCGATTTCGATGACATAGTAACTCGGGTAGGAACAGTAATTAATTGTGTGCATAAGAAACCAGTCATCAAAGATGAAAAATCATTTGCATTTGAATTTAGACTATCCTGACATAAATCACATTTAGAGTCTCCCAGTAGAATCATTTCTACATTGTCGCTAATCGCCCTTTTCATCATACAAGAAATTTTATCGAAATACTCGACAGAAACGTTTGGTGGTCTATTATAATACTAGGCATGAGTAAAAGCTCACCTCCCTGGTAATACACAAATCAGAAGAGTTTCGTTACGAGCTACTGTAACTTTACAATATTGCTTCGAGATCAAAGTCCAGCCGTGTTGTCTCTTCAGGGGTCCAGACAACTTGCCACAAACACAACCCGCCCCAAGACAACCCGCCACAATACCCTGGACATCTCGCCACAATACCCTGGACAACTCGCCACATGCGAGTTGTCCAGGGTGGGGTGCCTTTTCGGACAACTCGCCACACTTTTTTTCCCCTCATGATTTCTAGATCTAAAATCCCTCATCTTCAGGATCTTAGATAAAATTGTCATTTTATGTATTCATTATTCTTTTATAAACACAGTCATGACAGGAAACATGGAAATTGTGAGTATTTTGAGAGCTGTTCTAAAGAATAAAGATGATTTTCCTTGCGCTTGCAACAACACCCGCAACAAGAATCTATTTTGGACTGTGCGAAACTAACCTAGAAAATCTAGAAATAAACCACATTTCAATTTTATTTCGCGGGTCAACTGCCCCCTCCCCCATCAGGACGCCAGTGCTTCCAGTACCCTTCCATGAATTCCTACCATTAAAAATTATCAGAAGGGAAAAAGGACATGTACAAAGGATAAAAGGGGCACTTTAGGGGAACCTGAAAAAGTGGGGGCACAGTGTCCCCCCCCCCCAATGAAGAATGCCGCCTCTGACGAAACTAACCCAGAAAATCTAGAAATAAATCACATTTCAATTTTATTTCGCGGGTCAAATACCCCCCCCCCCCCCATCAGTACACCAGTGCTTCCAGTATCCTACCATTAAACAATTTCTGAGACAGAAAAATGCAGCTGCTATAGACCTCTAGATCTAAATACCAAGTTATCCCAATGATCTGGCGATCGTACGCCTTCGGTTTGTCAAAAATATATTATTGTTGCAAGGGAAATCAGCTTTATTCTTTATTCCTTGTAATGACTGTGTTTATAAAAGCACGAAAATCATGAAAAATGACAATTTCATTTAAGATGAGGGATTTTAGATCTAGAAATCATGAGGGGAAAAAAGTGTGGCGAGTTGTCCGAAAAGGCACCCCACCCTGGACAACTCGCCTGACCAGGGTATTGTGGCGAGATGTCCAGGGTATTGTGGCGGGTTGTCTTGGGGCGGGTTGTCTTTGTGGCGAGTTGTCTGGAATTCGTCTCTTCATACATAAAGGGCTTCACTTCCTCTTCTGGCCAGCGTTTCTCGAAACCGTCATAACTACAAGTTCACCGACATCCCGTCGAAACGCGTGTATTAAGTTTAACACGCGTTTCAATGGGATGTCGGTGAACTTGTACGGTTTCGAGAAACGCTGCCCTGGTCTTATCAAAGTGAGTTTTTGTTATAGCTATAGTATCGAATGGATTATATTTCAGAGTATATTTTAGATCATCTATCTTAATTGGCTGGTAACGAACTGATATTGATTGAAATGGCAATTTGTTTGACCTTTCCCACCAAATGATTTTCCAGACATACTATGCATCATTTTCCTACTATACTACTACTAGGCCAGGGACGTGTTATAACGTGACGTGGTCGATCGTCGATAGCAGTAGTACATACGTTTTAGGCCATTTTAAGCATTTTATAAAAAATCTCGCACACGCGCATGCGCGCGTGTTTTCGCGCGTTCTGGCATTTTGCAACAAAGAATCGCCAATTTTTTTTTTTATCATATTTGGCACATTTTCCCAAGCATTTTGATACCTTGTTAACATATTTCTGACCACTAATAACGGAGTAAGCGTCCGTTTAAGATACACGTCCGTGCGTGCGAGCTCTTGTAATACATAGCATATATGGGCAAAAACATGCCTGGGCAAAAACATGCCTATACAAAATCCATTGTAGCTCTTTAGGATGTAAGGTGACCCCAAATTTTGTTTCATATTTTGTAGAGTATGAATTGGAAATATGAGTTCTTGTCTCATTTGACCCTCAATTAACTCATGACGTCATCATAATGGCCTCCGAACTCAAAATTCCAATTTGCATATTATGACATCAGCATATTTTTGGAAAATTGATTATATCTCTGTAAATATTGATTGATTTTCTTCCAACTTTCGATATGTTCTAGCTGAGATAATTCACTACAAATGCAATTGACATGATTTTTCATTTCGACAAAGGAATCATGACGTATTTTTGCGATTAAAGGAGGAATATCAATTTTTCACTTTTTGCGTGTATTCTCTATGGGACATGACTTTTTTCGAAACTGGATTCTACATTCCCGTCTTTCGCGAGCAATATCTCCGTCGTTTTAGCTTCGTTTACGCTGAACTTCCTAGTACATGTAGTAGGAGTAGTATTAGAAGCAGTATCACAATAATAATGACAACAATGATTATTATGGTTGGTGGTGTTACTAATGTTATTTTTGTAATTATCAGGTGGGCTGTATATCGCACAGACCACCTTATAATTTCGTTAGAATTGCCTTTGTTTATTTATTTATTTATTATCAGGTGGGCTGTATATCGTACAGACCACCTTATAATTTCGGTAGAATTACCTTTATTTATTTATCAGGTGGGCTGTATATCGTACAGACCACCTTATAATTTCGTTAGAATTGCCTTTATTTATTTATCAGGTGGGCTGTATCTAATACAGACCACCTTATAATTTTGTTAAAATTGCCTTTATTTATTTATCAGGTGGGCTGTATCTAATACAGACCACCTTATAATTTTGTTAAAATTGCCTTTATTATCAGGTGGGCTGTAAAGCGTACAGAAAACCTTATGATTTCGTTAGAATTGCCTTTATTATTTATTTTACTTATTTCAAACCACTTTTTTTTGTAAGCACGATTACTTGAAAATGGCTCAAATTTGGCACACAATGTATAGGCATATGTACAAAACACAATAACGTTTTCAACTATGACCTTCACTGATGACGTCATCTAGGCGCCATTTTGTAAATTTTTCTGAAAATCAACTCATGATCATATCTTCATAATTAACCAAAAGCCATTTTTGATTCATATTTATCATGATTAAGGTCAATATTCGTCCGGTCAATTTCAGGTCAAAAAACGCGCGCGTGCGCGTACGTCCGCGCGCAAAATATTAAAATACTCAAAATAGTCTCAAAATAATTTTACATACGTTTTAGGCCATTTTAAGCATTTTATAAAAAATCTCGCACACGCGCATGCGCGCGTGTTTTCGCGCGTTCTGGCATTTTGCAACAAAGAATCGCCAATTTTTCTTTTTCATCATATTTGGCACATTTTCCCAAGCATTTTGATACCTTGTTAACATATTTTTGACCATTAATAACGGAGTAAGCGTCCGTTTAAGATACACGTCCGTGCGTGCGAGCTCTTGTAATACATAGCATAATGGGCAAAAACATGCCTATACAAAATCCATCGTAGCTCTTTAGGATGAAAGGTGACCCCAAATTTTGTTTCATATTTTGTAGAGTATGAATTGGAAATATGAGTTCTTGTCTCATTTGACCCTCAATTAACTCATGACGTCATCATAATGGCCTCCGAACTCAAAATTCCAATTTGCATATTATGACATCAGCATATTTTTGGAAAATTGATTGTATCTCTGTAAATATTGATTGATTTTCTTCCAACTTTCGATATGTTCTAGCTGAGATAATTCACTACAAATGCAAATGACATGATTTTTCATTTCGACAAAGGAATCATGACGTATTTTTGCGATTAAAGGAGGAATATCAATTTTTCACTTTTTGCGTGTATTCTCTATGGGACATGACTTTTTTTCAAAACTGGATTCTACATTCCCGTCTTTCGCGAGCAATATCTCCGTCGTTTTAGCTTCGTTTACGCTGAATTTCGAGTATGTTGTAGCTGAGACAATAAGCTATCTTAAATTTGCCCTTTATTTTGTCTCAATTTTAGTTAGACCAGCCCACCTATACTTGTTCAAAACAAGTATTACAAATTTAGTTTATTATTATTATTATCAACATTGTCACCGGAGCAAGTGTCGCTTCAGGCGGAGCAAATGTCGGCGGAGCAACTGTTGGCGGAGCAATAGTCGGCGGAGCAAATGTCACCGGAGCAATTATCGCGTTTTGCAGAGCAATTGTCGGCGGAGCAATTGTAGGCGGAGCAAATGTCGGCGGAGCAACTGTCGTTCGAGGAGCATTTGTCACCGGAGCAATTGTCGCGTTTTGCGGAGCAATTGTCGGCGGAGCAATTGTCGGCGGAGCAAATGTCGGCGGAGCTATTGTCGGCGGAGTAATTGTCGGCGGAGCAAATGTCGGCGGAGCAAATGTCGGCGGAGCATATGTCGGCGGAGCAAATGTCGGCGGAGCAATTGTCGGCGGAGCAATTGTCGGCGGAGCAAATGTCGGCGGAGCTATTGTCGGCGGAGTAATTGTCGGCGGAGCAAATGTCGGCGGAGCAAATGTCGGCGGAGCATATGTCGGCGGAGCAAATGTCGGCGGAGCAATTCTCGGCGGAGCAAATGTCGCGGAGCAATTGTCGCGTTTTGCGGAGTAAATGTCGCGGAGCAATCGTCGGCGGAGCATGTGTCGGGTTACCGGCCTGACATGAAGGCTTCTAAATAAGCATATTTATCGCCCGACTGTAAATTTGGGAATTTCTAATTTTCCAACAAACGCATAAAAAAATATGACTTACAAAAATCACTGGTGTCGAATAAGAAATACCCCCCCCCCTCATCAGTACGCCAGCGTTCAGAGGCTCATGTCTTCTTACCCCTATAAAAAAAACACACACGCTTTTCCATTCTCTCACAATATTTCCACGATATGCGCGTATCGCTATGATAAAAACCTCTATTGATAAATATAGTTGGCATGCGGAATGTTTAGGAAATATTTAATTCCTGTTAACTTTTCTTTTCTTTGAATGGAATTTTATATGTGATTTAATTCAGGTTTGTATTATTGTTATGTCCTTTCTCCTTAATACTGCTTCTTTCTTCATTTTTTTTTTTTTTTTTTTTTTTTGGGGGGGGGGGGGGGGCAAAGTGCCCCCCCCCCCTCTTCCGGCGCCTATGTCTCCCACGCTTCATTGACATCTGTAATTTGAAATATGTCGTTGAAAGGCCTCTGTGTCAGTGCATGAAACTACAAATCCTTAATAATCAAATTTTGGGAAATCACGCCATGCAGCTTATTATGTTTTTCAAGGGTTTGTGGCAACTCTCACCATAAAATGTAAAAGTAAAGAAATGTTCGCTGAAGAAAATTTTATATACACCAGCGACAATGTGTTTGTCTGGGTTGGCAGAATAAATATGATCAATTATCGATTTCGATGACATAGTAACTCGGGTAGGAACAGTAATTAATTGTGTGCATAAGAAACCAGTCATCAAAGATGAGAAATCATTTGCATCTGAATTTAAACTATCCTGACATAAATCACAATTAGAGTCTCCCAGTAGAATCATTTCTACATTGTCGCTAATCGCCCTTTTCATCATACAAGAGATTTTATCGAAATACTCGACTGAAACGTTTGGTGGTCTATTATAATACACAAATCAGAAGAGTTTCGTTACGAGCTACTTTAACTTTACAATATTGCTTCGAGATCAAAGTCCAGCCGTGTTGTCTCTTCATACATATATGAAACCCATTTAGACGAATCCATATGTGACGAAGAAATTGCAATAAGTGGATACACCTGTGAACGTCGAGATCGAAACCGTTCAGGCGGAGGAGTCGCCGCATATGTACGTGAAGGGCTTAATTATATAGTTAAACCGGAATTTATGCCAAAAGACCTGGAAATCATTGTGATGGAAATACATGAAGATAAGCAAAAATCGTATCATGTAGTAACCTGGTACAGACCACCCTCTTCAAATTATGACTTGTTCACTAAATTCGAAGACAACCTTGAGATGATCGAAGGAACTGGAACAGATTTTATCATCCTTGGCGATATGAACTGTGACATGAAGAAGAAAAACTCCCAGTGGCAAGCTAAGCAACTCTTTGAAATATTTCACAATAATAGATGTGAGCAACTTATAATGGAAGCAACTCGCGTAACAAATAACTCAAGTTCATTAATTGATTTGATTGTGACGAACAATTCTCAGCAAATTCAGTCAAGTCAAGTGGAGTATTGCATGTGACTCTGAGTGACCACTATATGGTAGATTGTGTAAAAGGGAAACTTCCTAATTGTAATGTAATGCATAAATATAGAAAGATGAGGAATAAAAGAAAACTGAAGCCCGACATTGTGCAAAATTTCATTCAACGTATTAATTTTGATTGTATCCAAGAATATGTTTGCCCCCAAAAGGCGTATGGAGCATTCGAGAGTATATTGAATTCTATATTAGATGATATAGCACCCATAAAACGAATGAGAATCAAGAATAAAACATCAAAATGGATTAATCAAAACATCCTAGATTTGATTGAAGAGAAAAATGCTGCTAAACAGATTGCCAAAAAGTCAAAAGATGACGTTGACTGGCGCATTTACAAATTATTAAGAAATAAAGTCATTGCTGTTATTAGGAAAGCAAAACGTGAGTATATTGGAAATTGTATTGAAAACAGCTTTGATAGCAATACTCTGTTTTCATCTATGCAGCAATTCTTACCTACTAAGAAGAAAGTCTGCAATAATATTCCACAGTTACTTATCAATGAAGAAATTATCTATGACCATAAACAAATTATGAATGAATTCAATGACTATTTTGTTTCAGTAGGTAAAAATATACAAGACCAACAAACTTGTCCTTCTCAAGATATGACGTTTAAAAATTATTGTTCTGATGTTATCGCTGGCGAATTCAATTTTGCCGATGTTGCCGAAAGCACTGTTTTAAAGGAATTAAAAGAAATTTCTGTCAAAAAGGCTACAGGGCCAGATGAGATCCCAGCATTGTTTATAAAGATGATTTCTCCATATATTGCCAAACCAATGTGTCATATTATAAATATGTCTTTGACTCAAGGAATTGTTCCGCTTCAATAGAAAATATCACGTGTAACTCCCATATATAAAAAGGGAGATAAACAAGAAAAAAGCAATTACAGACCAATATCGGTTATTCCAGTACTAGCCAAAGTGATAGAAAAGATTGTTTTCAAGCAGATATATAAATTTTTAAATGACAATAACTTACTTTGTGATAATCAGTCAGGTTTTCGGCCAAAGCACTCAACGACTACTACACTATTAAATATCACAGAAGATCTATTTGATAATATAGACAAAGGATGCACAACAGGGATTGTTATGCTCGATTTACAAAAAGCATTTGACTGCATTGATCATCACATCCTTCTGCAAAAATTACGTTTCATCGGTATGTCTGAAAAAGTCACCAAATGGTTTGAAGGTTATCTAATAGGGAGAAAGCAATTTATTACAATGAATGGTATAAGCTCGAATACTAAGGAACTTACATGCGAAATACCGCAAGGTACTATTATAGGACCCATGCTATTTTCAATATATGTGAACGATCTACCAACTGCAGTGAAGCATTCTAAGGTATTAATGTATGCTGACGATACGTGTTTATATTTCAGTAGTAACAATGTTCAAGAATTGACAACGACTTTAAACAAAGACCTAGAATCCGTATGTGAATATCTAAAATGTAACAAACTTAAATTAAATGTTAAGAAATGTGAGTTTCTTGTCGTAGGAACCAGGAGTAAGTTAAACAGACTTGATCCTAATATACATTTACTAGTAGAGAGTATACCCATTCTGAGAGTTTCATCGTGTAAGTATCTTGGCGTAATTCTAGACGAGAATCTAAGTTGGAACCTACATATCAACGAAATAAGAAGAAAAGTTTTGTTTAAATTGTATATGTTAAGGAGAATTCGTCCGATTATTACACAACGCCAAGCGGAATTGTTTTATAAATCCATGATACAATGTCATTTTGATTACTGTGATATAGTCTATGCAAATACAGGGGTTACGAACTTGAAGAAAACTTCAAACTTTACAAAATAAAGCGCTAAAAACTGTTTTAAGGAAAGACCCAAGATTCCCAACAGATCAGTTGTTCATACTTTTGAAGTTAGATAACATTTTAGAAAGATTGAAAAAAAGGACATTAATAGTTATGCACCAAATATTTTATAATAATGCACCAAAACCTATTTTACATTTCTTTGAAAAGCACAACCCTGTGTATAATACCCGACACTCTTTTCATAACTTTGCATTACCTAAAGGCCAAACGAATTATAAAATAAGGAGTTATAAAGGAGCGAAATGCTGGAACACAATTTTACAGGAACTGAAATCCATAGAGAATAAAAATGTTTTTAGAAAACAGATCATTGACAGACCCTTGGGAGGAGAGTCAATCAGACTCTCGGTTTACAATACACTTCTCTGTTAATTATTTACTTTTTATTCATTATTGTTAATTTTTATTTTGTACATTATAATAATTCATGTTTTCTTTGTTTATTTTTTGTTGTTGTTTTGTTTCGATTATTTTGCATATTTTTATGTTTTGTTGTCTTTGTTACTGGAATTTGTTTTGTGATATAATTTGTATATTTTTTATTCAGTCACGGACTTTCTGAAAATCAACCGATAGGCTGAGAGAGTGACCGTGCTTAAATAAATAAATGAAATGAAATGAAATGAAATGAAGCATAAAGGGCTTCACTTCCTCCGACGGTGTATCGTTCTGTCTTTACGAATAATGTTGTACTCCTTTATTACTAGTTCGGAGTCTGGTCTTATCAAAGTGAGTTTCTGTTATAGCTATAGTATCGAATGGATTATATTTCAGAGTATATTTTAGATCATCTATCTTAATTGGCTGGTAACGAACTGATATTGATTGACACAGGCGAGTACGCAGGTTTTTTTTAATGTGTATGTTTTATGTATGTTTTTTTGGAAACCCCCCCCCCCCTTGAAAAAAATCCTGCGTACGCCACTGGATTGACATGGCAATTTGTTTGACCTTTCCCACCAAATGATTTTCCAGACATAGTATGCATCATTTTCCTACTATACTACTAGGCCAGGGACGTGTTACAACGTGACGTGGTCGATCGTCGATAGCAGTACATTTGATTGTCTTGATCTGCACAGCTTGAAGCGTTGAATGGGAATGATGAATGGCAAAAAGCGCTGGGTTTTCAACTTTTTATAGCTTAGTTACATTTTTTGTTTATTTCATTGTTCATTTACCACAGATAAGCATCAAACAATCCGCAATATGAATGTGAATGACAACGAGAAGGATACCAAGGTAGAGAAAGAAATCCCAACAGACTTGGCGAAATGGGCACGGGCATTCCGAGAAGAAAGCAATACTGACGCACTCGAAGCTAAATACGATGATTTTGCTGAACAATATGATAAGGTACGTGACGTAGCCACTAGGGTCAATGGTTAAGCCCCTATAATATACCAAACTAGTTCTCACTACGTTCTGGAACTGTCCAAGAAAATCGTGAAACGGGTTGTGGTCGGGGTAGAATGTGTAAATAATATTCTCAAGAGGGCAAACAAAAGGTATTCATGAAGCGCCTCCATGACTTTGACAGTATTATTCTGAAATGCACAAGCGGACATCTCAATATGCACAGGATGTGTGAATAGGGAGGGGGGAGGGGAGGGATAATTTGTACTGAAGCTAACTACCTACTGTATATTCGTTTGACATAAACATACTTATTTTCTTGATGAAAAAAATTGTGTAATTTTTGTACAGTCCTTCGACTGTACTTACCTTCTAACAGGCACAAAGTCCTGAGAAAATTCTCAAACCACAAAGATATTTATGGTTTTCTTTGAAGGCGTCACTGTGCAACACCCTCTCACAGTGATTAACGGTAAATTCTCCTAACCATTTTTGAATTTTCCCAACCGTTTTTCTACGAAAATAAGTCATAAGACAAGCTTTTAAAAATCTTTTAACACTTGAATGTCTGGAATGGTATATAGAGCCAAGCCAATCCATTGCTCTGTGACGATTTAAATGCACCTAAAATGTAATTAAATTGTAATAATATAGTAAGGAGAATTAAGGACTCGATCAGATCAGTTTTCCACAATTTTTATCATTAATAATGGTCCGTTTTCACTCAAACTTTCAGATTATCTTTAATTGTACATTTAGCATTGAAGTCACTACCTTAGCACCATTTTTATACTAAGTCCCTTTTGAATGAAATGATACTTAAGCTTTTAAACTTTCACTGGAAACTAATGAACCACTTAATTCTCGTCTTGGTATTCCCTTATCTACATGACCAATATATGAAATTTAGATAAATGCCGCATTGAAGGTCACTGGGCCTGTTTTGACTGCTGACGCCCTCACCCGGTTGGTAACGAATCGAGATGTGAGAATACTAGACGTAGGCTGCGGCACTGGGCTTGTCGGTCAACAGGTTAGTTTTCAAACCCACCACACCAATGGCGTAGCTACAAGGGGGAATAAGTGCCTCGATCCATGCCTACAAATCGAGTTGTGAAGTAAAATTAAAAAGGAAGAAAAAGCGAGAAAATAGAGATAGGGAAAGGGAAAATGGGGAAAGGATGAGACACAAACACATTTGGACCCCTCCCGCAATCTTTCTCTTCGGCTTGTAAGCTCACATTTTCATTTTCCGAATAAGATCCCCGCGCCCAACCGTGTAGCTAGAATTTTATTTTAGGGGGGCGGTATGAGCACGCGAAGCGTGCGAATCACTTACAGAGCGCGCAAAGCGCAAAGCGCGCTCCCTAGGGCTAGGGGCAAAGACGTTTAAATATAGGGGAGTGGGTGCAGGGAGGGGGAGTTTCCCTTTGATGTTTCATTAAATTATTAGAGAGAGAAGACGATTTGTTGTACCGTTCTCGACTCCTAATCCTTGTCTAATTTTTTTTTTCTTTGTCTGCTCCTTTTTCTTCCTACGTTGGGGGGGGGGGGGGCGACCGCCCCCACCGCCCTCCCTGATTCCAATGCCCTCAATTGCATATTGCTCCGGTTGTCTCATTTTCGCCAGCACAAACGTAGGCTTGTTCGCGTTTATAGCAGACGGCAATCGGCGGATCAGACGACAATTGATAGTGATTTTGTATGTGAGATTGCTTTGCTAAATTTAAAATACAAGAATCTTTTCCATATCTTTCAACTATCATTGATATCTGATAATTAGACAGTTTGTAAAATAAACCTACCAAACTACATAATACAATTGAATACTTGATTGGAAGTAGGGGAGTTTGATGTGGTGCACAATTGCACCCCTCTGCTAATAATCGAATAGTCCATGGTGTTCATGAATATTCATGTTTTTGCTTACCCCGGCAAAATGCTTTCCTATAAATGGAAAAATTACGGTGGGGGGTTGGATGAAATGGACATAATGAACAAATCAGAAGTGATCTATGATAATTCATGCTTCTTATCCTTCGTGTGCTTGAATTATAACCTTACAATCGCGTGGAATATTGAGTCCAAAGTTCGACTTGTGTTATATAGGCAATGGCGAGTTTGCGACCTATTTTGATCAAATTACGGTGGGTGAACTTTCAAAAGTCAATGGGACATGAGGGTTCCAATGAAAGAGCTAGTGAAAACGTACGTCGGGGTGGATGTGCTTTTCGTTTTTTTTTTTTTTTTTTTTTTTTAACGATTTAGGGGGGTAAAAGTCAATAGGCTAACGTACATGTTAGGTTGCTAGACTCTGCCGATAGGGGGCGTTCTCAAATGAGACTAAACGGAGCTATATGATATATTTCTACGCCACCTCAACACATTGTTCGTTCTGACTGCCATCCGATTTGGGAATAATTAAAACATTTGAGAAGAAAATGAATATAGCCTATTTGAATTTGAACATGCATATTCAAGCATGTATAATGTGAATCGTAGTATTAATAAACTATAGTAAAATAACAATTTCGGAGTGTATTGCAAGTTTCCTTGTAGGAGACAAAGCCAAATCTGTTCTGCATCATAATCATGGAAGTGACGTCAGAGCAGTCTTGTGATTATTTATGATTTGAAGCCGAGTTGGCCTTCACTCCGACCAAAATGTTTGCAATTCACACTAATTCGATTTTTAGTATATACATTTTACAAAATATTAACATTTATTTAAGTAATATGGAAGTATCCTGACCCATAGTAATTAATGATACGAAGGAATGTTATGTAAATCATTAAATACATAGAACTATACTAAAAAATAGCCTAGATCTGATAATAGCGGAATTATTAAGGGGATAATTAACATTTGAAATGACATGATGCAACATTACTGCTGTGGCATGTATACCCAGGGTTACATTCCTTTCTCTAGGTATGATCAGGGAGGTGATAGAGAAATTGTTATTTTACTATAGTTTATTAATACTAGGATTCACATTATACACGCTTGAATATGCATTATTATATTCAAATCCAATCAACATGTTCATGATACTCTAAATTGGGACTTTCTAGACTGCCGTTACAAAAAGCATGTATGTACTATGATTTTTAAGATATTAAATAATTACACTCCGTCTTATATGTCAAATAATATCAAATATCGCACGTATGATTCTTCATTTCGCTCATCCCGAAATCTAGATCTCCCTAAACCGAATTCAAATAATTGCAAAAGAACATTCTTCTATAGGGGGCGACACAATATAACCAACTACCAGAACACATCCGAAATGCAACTACATTAAGATCCTTCCATACCCTAATAACTGATAATTTTTCTTAACACACTTCCTTAAACTCAAATGAGTTTGCATAACCTTGTGTGGGTGTGTGTGTGTGTGTGGGTGGGTGTACGCTATCATTTTAATACTATCATTTTCATGGTGAAGTATGTTACATTTATGTCAAGATCGGGGGGGGGGGCGAGTACCAACTTTAGAAAAGATGAAAAAAAATAAAATTTAAGTATAGGGATGAGGAAAAGAAAATAGCAATTAGAATGGGAAAGCTGGGATCACGTTTCTTAAAGTCGGAGCTGCTTAAGATTAATCAAGATTTGTTTTCTTCTCCACCGTGAGCCTGTTAAAAGTGTAACTCTATTTTGCGGCCTGTATACTTATTTAGTATATTTTTCTTGAGTTGAGAATGTTAGCAGACATCCACTGAGTGAGTAGTGTGTGTGTAGGGAGGGGGTGGGTGGGTGGGTGAGTGGGTGAGTGGTTGAGTATGTGTGTGGGTGGGTGGGGTTTTTGTGTAAGGGAGGGGGCAGGGCCAGGGAGGGGGCAGGGAGGACCAGGCATTGTTCCAGTTAAAATTACCTCCAGATTTGTTTAAGTTTTTTTTTTTTTTATATAAGTGAATAACATTTACAATTGGAAAATCAATAATGATAAATCAAAATCGATTTTAGCAACTGTCCACCAATATTATATTTAGATACCTATACGTTTACTTTGTTGCTCAGTTATATATACTGCAAGTGAGGTTTTGTTTAATTATGTTTATGTCAAAGTAATCAATATTGAACAAGTTTATTTTATTCAATTGTATGTTATGGTTTGTATTATACATTTGGAGAAATAAAACAAAATTGCTTTAAAACAAAAAAGTACGCGTATGATAGTATTTTTGAATATTGTGATACTTTGGTATTTACAAAAACTTGTATTTGTGTTTTGTTTCTATTCTGCTTTATGTCGCTTTTATGTTAATATTGTAGTGTAAGGACCCCAAGGAAGAACAGTAGTGTTCTATAAACACTGCTGAATTGGGCTTTCGACCGATTTTTGTCTATGTCCATGTATAAATACTTTACTTTGTATATTTTACTATGTATAATATTTTAATCTGATTTCGGAAATAAAAACAACAACAACAAGAGAAGGAGTGGAAACTGATGTAATTTATTCAAACGCATGCGTGAGTTCTAAGGCGTAACAATTGGATGCGTAACATTCCACTTGGCTTTGAAGTTCCATGCTCCGAGCCGTTTTTCCAATTGCGGGGAATTTCGGAGGCCTAGCACCAGTTTCACATGTATTAAATTACCGGCGAAATGGGGATCGTATTATATGGGGATCGTATTGGGAGTAGTGCATCAACAACAACAAACAAACTTAGTACACCGCCCTTCCAATAATTTGTGTGCCAGAGTTGGTAAAAGAAAACTCATTGAAAGGGACAGCGAACATTTGCTGAGATATCATTTTCTAATATAGGAATTCTAAATCCTGATTATGTCATGCGCTCTTGTATTTCACCACCTGTTCGTCAGTTGCGGAATAGCGCATAACTTTTCGGCGGCTTGGAGCATGGAGTCAAAGAATAGCGGCTTGATTCCACTCCTTCTCTATCACCTCCCTGGTATGATTAAAATTAAGACAATAATTATTCTTTCTAGCTAGTTATGGTTACGAATGCTTTGCAAAATAATAATGTATATGAAATATCAGACAGAAAACGGACTCTTAAAATAAATTTGTATGGTTCTCTCTCTCTCTCTCTCTCACACACACACACACACACACACACTCACTGTCTGTCTGTCTGCCCTCCCCCCCCCCCCTCTCTCTCTCTCTTCTACCACCGTTGTAGCTCTACGATAACGGATACCGTGATATACATGGAGTAGACATGTCAGCTGGATCATTAAAGGTTCTTGAAAAGAAACAGATTTACTCGAAGCTAGTAAAGGCTAGATTTGATCCTAGCACACCTCTCCAATATGCCGATGGTAAGCATTCGATGTAGTATTACTCAATTTAACCCTAAATTGAGCTTCTAAAATAGTTTGAGATATTTTTTTTTTCTTACTTCAAAGCACGCAATATGAATATTTTTTTATCAAGAGGCTTGTTTAACAAAATTAAAATACAATAATGTGAAAATTGACATTTCATTCGTTGCGATAATGATGATAATAATAATAGCTATATTTTTATATTGCGAAAAGAATTATTATTACCCCTAGTTTAAGTCCAGCCGCCCTAAATTTTTTTCGCTATTCCTCTCCCAAGCATTTACTCTCAGACACCATTCATCCTTCTTCATTTTTTTCTTTTTCTTCTTCTTCTTCTTTTTTGTTTCCTTCTTCTTCTTCTCACCCTATCTTAACTCGGTATTATATACCCTTTATTATTTCCAGGTTATTTTGACGTGATAATAAGCGCTGGTGTTTTTGTACCGTGTCATCTCACTCACGCCTGTCTTCCAGAGATTATTCGTCTTCTCAAAGCTGGTAAATTTTTTTTTCAATCAACATCATTCGACAATCGACATTAAACCACTCAAAGTATATCTTACGTAAATGTTAAGTGCTATAGTTTCAGAATAATACGTACTTCACTTGTAGGGAATCATAATTTATGTAATCATATCAACTTTGCCATACCAAAAGAACGTACAATTAGCAACTCAAGAATGACGATCTCAAGTTACAGCAGTTACCTGAAACCACCTTAAAGTCTTTCCCCAGACTGTATTTGATTAACATGATCAATGAGGCCATTAAAATTATACCAACATTGTATTACAATGCCTAATTGAAGTGGCAGGCTGTTTTATGTTAATGTTTATTTCGTTTTACCTTACTCATCAAACGAGTTAAAGAGATTTAAAACATGAATCCAACCCCCGTAACAGTTTCAACCTCCTCTCTTAACCAATGGTCTGACACCGATCCATAATCTTTTGATGATGTGTAAATGACTAGTATCAGAGGAGTATTAGTTTATTTCCATTGGCGTAATATGTAAAGTATAGGTATACAAAACATTAGCATATTTGCATAGTCTCTCTTTCTCAAACGAAGCAAAATTATTTTGTCTTATATTTTTGCTACGCATCAGTTCATCTATTATCCCAATATGATAATCACTGTTGAATCACTCTTTTCTCAGGAGGACATATTCTCATCACCACGAGGAAAAACGTCTTTGATGAGGAGATGGCAGGCATAAAGCTGAAATCATCCTTTGCCAGTCTGACCAAAGATGGAGTACTCGAGAAGATATCACACGAGGAGATCGGTTATGCGACTGAGAACGATGAAGTTACTCCAGGCTTGATATTATCGTATAAGGTCCTACAGCAATGAAGGAAATATGATATGCATGGGCGTCTGTTGCGGCACAAATTGTCAAAGCTCAAAGCCGTAAGTGGCGTAACTTCATATCAAGCATCAAGACACAGTATGCATACACACGAACATACGGTCAAGGTCATTTTAAGTATGTGCGCGTGCGTGCGTGTTTGTGTGTTCGTGTGTAATATTTGTTCACTTTTACTGCATATATCATTGCCATCTTATTTTAAATGCTTGAATTAGTGCTGAAACGAAAACATGTATTTTTATTTCAGTAGATTACTCAGAAGGTATTTTAAAGCAAAGTCTACAGTATTCTCATGAAAATTGTATGTAAATTTCTTGTATGTAGGTTTTCTTTTACCACATCTTTATTTACAGGTTGAATTATTTTAACTTGAATCTTCTATATTTTCCTGATTCCTGTATTCTAGAACATATTCATCTACTTTATATATTCTAAAGTATCTAATTGTCCCTTAATATTCCAACATAGTTTAATGAAAAAATGTTGTTGAACAGTTTTGAATCGAGATTTTACTCAAAACATGTTTTCAACATTAACAAATTTTTGAATTCCAGAAATTCCAAAAGACGGAAATTGGAGTATCATAATAGCTGTAAATTTTAATATTTGGTTTTAGCAGGTACCCTAACTTTGTGATAATCGGTTGCATGTAAAAATTTCATCATCAAAAAGATCTCCTAAGATCAACAAACCTGAAGCGAATAAAATTTCAATCAGCATTCTATTATTCTAGATGTATATTTTGTTTATTCGTTTGTTGGTGTATTTAGAATGGACCTAGAGGCAGGCGCGGATCCAGGGGGAGGGGGCGATGGGCCCACCCCCTCCCCCTCCTGGCCAAAAAAAGAAAGAACAGAAGAGACGGGCCCCCACCCCTTGCAAAAAAAGTTTTTTAAAAAGATGATGACCACAAATTTACCTTTTTTTCTCAAGTGGGGGGGCATATGGAAACGTTGTATCATCCGCTCAATCTGACTTGCGTGCATAGAACAAATAAGCATTTTTCCATGAAAAAGTGAAGTTTTCCCAAAATAATGTGCTTTTCTTTCCAGCATTGGGGCGCCCGGAAGTCACTCGGGTAACATTTCATAAAGTATAGTATAAAAAGACCATATGCAAATTTTCTGTACTTTTGTCGGAAAAAATACATTTATCCAGCACAATGTCGTCTCTTTTTGCGTTGGAGAAGAGCAAATAGCGAGTTTCAACCCGGCCCCCCCACTCAGGTTTCAAAATGACCGCATGCGTGTTGCCAAAATGTCCTTTTCGTAACAAAAGAAAAAGGTCGAGCCGTATTGACTTTACACACCGGACTTTTGCTGAAAAGGGGGGGATGCTGAAAAAGGCTCGTATACAAAAGAAAAAGGTCGAGCCGTATTGACTTTACACACCGGACTTTTGCTGAAAAGGGGGGGGGGTCGGTTGGAACACGCATATGCGTACCCTAAATAACACTGAGTGGGGGGGGGGGGGGCCGGGAGTTTCAATCACACTTTGGCCGCTCTCGCAAGCTCTCACTCGTTTCACTGTGGTCAAGAGACTTTGGGGCAAGCGTTTAATGAAAATAATAATTGTTAGCTTTCTTCTGGTATCAAACTTGTTTTGATTGATTGTATAATTTTGTCGGAATAAAGGAAACAAAAAGGCTCGACCAATAACTTATCAGCGTCTGAATTGACCTTTTAACCTTGAATTCCCTGATGCAAGCGCACTAATGACGTCATCTTCGCTAAATCGGTGTCTTTTATTGTAAAATGCGACACTTTCACAATGTTTATACATCTTTTTTTTAATTATTTGTAAGATATAACATATTTTTTACTGTTACCACTGAAGTTGTGGGTTTTATTTAATGAGTAATTTTAGAATAAGAGCCATTAAACTGTTTTAATTTACTGGATCGTAACATTAATGTCACAGGGTAGAAAGATGCATTTTCCAACCGCGCCGAATTTAATTTTCGTTCCGACATTCTGTTAAATGGGTTCGTGTTGTTAAGAATCTAATGCTTTCTGCTCCAACAAACGTCCACATGCGGAGTCGTTTATCAACTAAATTATTCAAATTTATGGATGCTTCCTAGCTTCCCAGGTGTTTGTGTTGCTGTTGAAGCATTTCATTCACCTGCTATCATTCTTTGTACTCCAATTGCCAGAACGCAAATTTCATTTTGGTTTTATAGTTTCATGCAATAAGTAAGTCAATACAAAAGTATGTTCTGCACAATAAAAACAATGTGTGTCCCTATTGTACAATGTAATGTGTCCCCTCATTTTGTAATAGTTAATTTACCCATTCACATAATGGAACTACCTGCCCGATGAAGCCAGTGGCCTGTGACCCCTGATCGAGCACTCAACACCGTGTGGGAGTCAGTTCGTGGTAAAATTCTTTTATGAGACAAATACAAGTAAACGTTTCCATATGGGGGGGGGAGTAAAAAGAAAATGCTCACTATGCCCGCCCCCCCCCCCCCCCCCCCCCCCCCCACTGAGCGAAATATCAGCAGGCGCGATTTTCAAATTTCCGGCAAAAAAGAAAGAAAAATGTTAGTGCTCATGGAATGGGATGTGACGTGACGGGATGGGATGTGATTATTTTTGTAGGTTCCAAGTTTTCACGTGAATTTTTAATATTCTTATTCCTCTTATGTTTAGTATAACAAAATATTCCTGGACAATGTGAATGAAGTTTCCCTACTAAATACAAATTCAAACCACTTCAATGGCGTAGATTGATAACTTGAAGTGGATTTAACTCCATAAAGAGCGACCTAATATGAATCCTAAAACTGGATTTCCACTATTATGCAGTATTCTTATACATGTGAGTATAGAGAATGATCCGGAATGGGGTTCGATTAATACGTGGAGTAGCGGTTACGTTTGTCGAAGGTCACGTCCAGATTTCCTGTTTTTTCCTTCAACATGTTTCTCTCCAAGGGCATCAATCCCTAGGGGACAGGGGGGACACGTCCCCCACGAGTTTTTCTAGGTGGGACATCATATCAAATGTCCACCCCCCCCCCATGTTTTGTCAGAAAAGAAGAGGGACCACCAGGAACAACGATTTTGTATACGAAATCTCACGAATTGGCAAACAAAATTTAAAAAATTAGTGCCTCTTACATCCCCCCCCCCCCCGCTTATTCACTGGCTAAGTATTTCCTGACGAATTGGGCACTGAAAAAAAAATGTGCTCTCGTTTCATAAAACTTCTCACCAATAACAATTTCCAAAATGTTATGACAAAGTTGTTCTTATAGACACGCAAATGCAATGATTTTAGTAGCTCATAACATTTATAATAATTTGTTTTTGATAACACTAGCTTTAACCGGGGGGGGGGGGGCGGGGGCTGAAACCTCACGTGCTAGCCTCCCCCCCCCCCCCTCCTTTCATAAAACCAAGGAGGTACCAGCACCTCCTTGTTAAAACGGAGCACCCAATATATACACGTATACAGTATCATACCCCAAAAACAAAAACATTACATACTAAACTAAAAGAAAACAGGAAGAAGAAAATGGGAAAGAATGAAACGGAGAAAGAGAGGGAGAGAGAAAGAGATACGAGTGTATGTGTGTGTGTGTGTGTGTATGTGTGTGAGAGAGAGAGAGAGAGGGAGGGAGTGAGAGAAAGGGAGGTAATTCTTAGACAAGAGAGAACTTAAATGAAGTCAGAATAGAGAGAGAGAGAGAGAGAGAGAGAGATAGAGAGAGAGTGAGAGGACAAAAGATAAAGATAATACCATAACATCTAAACTGTCTCTTTCTTGAGTCTATCTTTCTCATCCCATTCTCTTTCTCTCTTCCTTCTTTTTTTACCTCCCTGTTTTCATCTCTCTGTTCGCTTTCTCTTTTCCTTTCTCAATCTTTCCTCCCTTAGCTATTTATTCATCCACATCTCTCTTTATCAGAGGGCAGGGGATGCAAACATTAAGCATAGATATTAATTTTAAATGGGGTATATTATATTAAAAGAGAAAAGTAAATGAGTCCCTTACATCAGTTATGTCTCTGATATCATATAATCTTGTCAAATATTTCATACTTTATTTTGTAGATTGTCAATAATATCAATAATCATAGAGAAGACGTTTCCTGGAAAATTAACAGTACTGAAACATTCACAACATGTATCAATATGCAGCCAGGGTGACATACACTACAAAAACAAACAAAACATTGCACCATATTAAGCGACCAAAAACATAAAGATACAAAAGGAAGTACAATAGTAAGATTACAAGCGCACTCTTTTATAAATACTAACTTGTAATATTTTCAATTTCCATGATTTTCCATTTTAACAATTGAATCTGAACGTGAAGCACGCCAAAGCAGAAAGATGGTATACTTCGACATTACACCATCTATTCATAATCTAATACCATAAATGGGGAAAACCCTGTTCTGAACGTTGATAACGTCACAGTTAAGTTCTACTCAGCCATTGATACTTGGGTATTTAATTTCAATTCAGGAAAGTTTGAACATGTATAAGAGAATTACCATCAATTAGAAACGAATCCAAAATAATTGGAAACAAACCATGGACATAATGTAATTTATATGAGTAGAATTCACAAATGTGACAAAAACTGTTATAAAATGTTAGCTTTATTTCATAATGGTCTTACAGGCAGTATAAGGTTATACTAATCTGAGGTGTACTGTACTGGCAGCAAAGTTGTAGAAGATTTGTGCTACTGCATATTGACATTTTCTCCCAAAGGTACATGTAGCAATCACACACATGTATACATTACAGTGACCATGTTCTCCAAAAGTAAAAAGAATAATGATACATTTTACATAATGATATAATTGTCAACAACACAAATACATGTAAATAAAGATATAATTGCACAAGCCTTCATAACTAATAATACACTGCATAGGAATTTATTATATTAAGTTCTAGGATATGTAATTTTTCTTTTACTTAATATGCTTCTCCTCTGATATAAATTTATTTTATGTAGAATAATATGAATTCTTATAATATGCTGGTAATCCTTCTAATACACTTCCACTATATAATTATAAAATGCATCATTATCGTATCCTATACTTAGGAAGGACCTTATCTATAATAATGTATATTTTGTACTGCTTCAATTTCTATGTTTATTATAGCTTCAAAACATACTTTAAAATATCTTCACTAGTATGCATAAAGATAGGTAACATTTTACTTACATTAACACATATTGTAAAAAGAACAAACGTACATTTGAAATAAGCTCATTAGCACATAGATGATCCATTTCTTCATTTATATGGATTATGGAGCACACAGTGGAAGAAATAGACAAGAGGATATAGCAGACTGCATGTATACAGTTGAATACCATAATGCTGATAAATTCATAATTGTACTGAAATTGGTAACAGGCAAGATCAGTTCCTCGTAATTGTTTGTTTAAAATTACCATAGCAAATACATGTTCATGTATGTACATTTGCCGATTCTTTAGATTACCTGTTCACTTCACCATGTGGCAAAAACACAATGTTTCAAAATTGTCCATGTTTCAGTGCAGCTCTAAATATTCCAATCTTGTAATATTTCAAAGAAAATAGAACACATTTCCAACTTCTAACAAATAAAGCACAGATCAGATGCCAAAAAGGATTCCCTTCCGTGTTCTGTTATTCTTCTTGAATACATGGTATATGGTATGCTGCATGATCCAACATCGAACTGCGAATTTCAATATTTCACCTGACACTGCATGTAAAACACATATTCAAAGTAATATAGAGTATTGGAAATCACTTTTTTTTTTTCTACTTGTACATATACCTGCTTGGGCAGACCGAAAAGAAAAGAAAACAAATTGAATTTTCCTCTGGAGTACTCATATATCTGAGAAATCAAAATTTAAAGAGAAAGTTGAGTTCTGGGAAGAGGTAAAAAATAATTTGTGAGCGTTATCATTGTTATTATGCAAGCGTGGAAGAACATCAGATTAAACATGTTTTTTGAAAGGCATGGCTCTTCAAATGCCTTCATATTCTAAATATGACATGAAACATCGTAAAAATCGGGGGTAGGTTTTTATCGCCATGTGCTCGTGTAGTCCCATATACATCATTCTGTGTACAGTGCTTGTAACTTTGCCAAGATTTGGCCAAATTTCTTATCATTTTGATGATTCCAGAACCTTGCAATACACACGAATACATATATACTAGATGATCAACCTTTTCTGGCAGATTCCACAACATTTCTTTCACAATGCAATCACATGACCAGAACTCAACTTTATCTTTAAGTGTTATTTTTTGTTGTCAACATTTTCCATCACAAAATATGTCATGACTACTTTTCTAAATTTAGAGTATCTATAATACTTGAACCTTGAAGTTATAATCCCTCTCAGCATCTCTTGTAGATGAATGACCTAAAGAATTTGAAAACTAAAACTTGTTATGGGTTCAATGTTAGTCTAGAATCTGGCTTGTTCCTATTTCATATCTCTATTATATTCCCAAATGTAGATAGCGTTATCAACAAACTCGTACGCCCAGCCTAAGAACAACATAAAAATTCTGGTATCACATCATTTTCGGCTTGCGGGAAGTAGGGGGAGATCCTGCAGTGGTGGAGATTATTAAAAATTAAATCAGCCAGATTGTTGACTAGTTTCATGTCAGCGACTGGTGAGAAGATACTACTTGATGCACCTGCATGTGTTTGCATAGAATAGGGCCCACATCAAACTTAAGTGTAACTTGGGTTCCCTTGGGTATTATGATTTTCTTTATTTCATGTTAAATACTCCCTATCCCATAGAATGCCAGATTAAAACAAATTCAGCTTGATTTTATGCATTCTACATGCACACAAATTATTTTCTAGGTAATTAGAACACTTTGAAATCATCAACTTGTCAGTTATCTCCATCATTTCAGTTCAAGTTTTTGTCAAGGACAAATAGTCCAAACAATTACTGTTGTTCAACTGTGGCCATGACCTGTATAAGTATGTGGAGCATGTCAGAATCATGATACATTTAAGTGACAATGGTGAATTTGTATCTGAAAGCTCTCACACACCAACAAAAGAAAATTCTTATAATGCCATATTTTAGTGGTATCATGGATTTGTTTCAAAGCATAATTCAGGGATGCCAGCTAGAATTGATCAGAGGGCCTGAAAATCACTTAGAATAAGCTATTTTGTATTAAAAAAAGCCTATACTATGGTCTGAAAATAACTCACCAGGGCCTGAATTCAGGCTATTGCCTGAAAACTGGCATCCCTGATAATTCATAGAATTCAGAAAATTTCTAATTGAAGTAATGAGATTTTGAAACTACTTTCAATGTAATATTAAATATGAGTAACAAAAATATTGACAAGTTTTAAAAGTAAGGCAATGCTGTTCACACTAATGCCAACTTAGTCATACATGGCAAAATAAGGCAAGACTACTCTTTGCAAAACATGATTTGGAATATAATTATGCAGCCCTGAGCAAAACTTACTAAATGCAGACAACGTTACGTTATTGTGTCAATGATAACTTGCGTATGATTCAAAATAAAAGTATAAAACCCAAGTCAGAGGAAGACAGATGAAGAAAGGGAGGTAAGAGAATATTTGTTTTCTTTTCATCTAAATAATGCATAGAGCAACCACCTATGGGACTATACTCTTCCTGTTGAGTAGTAGTAAATGAGAGAGAGAAGAAAAAAAAGAAAACAAGGGGAGGGGATAGATAAAGTATACATATGCATATATAAAAACTAATAATTTGAAATAGATTGAGAGAGAGAGAGAGAGAGAGAGAGAGAGATGAGATAGAGAGAGAAGAGAGAGTAACCTGGCTACAAACGAAAGAAGTATAATCCCCAATAACAAATTGGGCACAACAGAAGTAAAGATAGTAAAGAATATATACGTTTATCTATACTTAATAATCTAAAGGCAATATAGGCTACTTATTTCAGGCTTTTATTTCTACCATTTACTTCCTAACCTACAATTACACCTTTGGTTATAAATATTCATCATCAGATTAATCTAATATTGACATGTACGCATAAATATAAGAAAATAACAAAGACATAAATCATCAAAAGAAATGGTGAAAAACAATATATATTTAGAATTGCACATGACATAGCCATTTTTTGTGACTGTCTATACACCTCTGTAACTGTGGTCTGTCCACTTTGAAGCACTTCTTGTACAGCAACTCCATGAATAGGTCTTCCTTGTGTAGCAACAGAGCCAGCGCATCCCCAATGTTCTCATCCGCACAGCTGATGGAGCGCTCATACGCGGCATACTCCGCATGATCCACAGGGTCCATCTTGGCGGAGGAGGAGGATGTTGACGTCTTGGGACCAGGAAACGAGCTAGCACTTGAGAAGTCCTTCAGGAGGAGCCATTCCTTCTCCCCTTGCACCAAGGGTTCTGTATCCGATATGTCCTCACACATCTCAACACCGTTAGGGCTCTCGACCCTCTTTACATAGTCCAGGGTGTGTGGTGTTGTATAAGACACCCGGCAACAACCTCTCTGCAGACATTCTCTTCCCAACGTCAAGATAGATCTCCTGTAAAATGGAAAATTAATATGTCAAGTTATACTCATAGTAATAACAAAACAACAACAACAATAATAAATGAATATGCTGTTCTTGTACAGTGCACATCACAGTATGATATAACTTCTCTATAAATGTTTGCTTTCAAAGGACTTTCAATATTGTTGACACAGCTTTTAGCTCCAGCCACCCTAGCGTTCAGTGCATTAGATCCACCTACTACACCTAGGTTGAGTGTGGCAAATGTAGATTAATGTTTTGTCAAAGGATAAAATTGCAGCAGCAGGATTCCAACCCTGTACCTTGTGGTTCACAGTCTGAGGACTTATCCACTAGGCAGCAACGCATCTACATGTAATATTGCTATCCATAATGACAGTGCAAGTTGAAGAGATAAAAATACTTTTTTTTTTTTAAGTATCTCCTTGCCAGTTGGCATATTTTAGGTTTCATGTCGAGGGGTCAGTGACACAAAGACGCAACTCCATTTTGGCCATTTTGAGAAAAAGTGGTTTAAGTGTCACTGAGCACTTGGGCCTTAAGGAGTTAAGTCTATGTTTCACTAGCCATTGACTTCAATGGAGTTTTGGGTGGAGTTAAGTCTTCGTGTTTCCTGGAAAGCCCACATTTTTCTGAATATTTTGATATCAAATACTCGATATGCTCACTGCTTAAACAAAGTGAACCACTGACCTGTGATACCAGATAGCTTCATGACCGGGGAAGTTCTCTATGAGGTTTGAAGTGAAGACCAACTCTTCATGGATGATCCTAAGTACATCTTCATGAGGGTGATGACACGACAAGGACTTGATAAGGAAGTATCTGTAGTTGAACCCACTGTGATCAGATATGTGCTGTTTTACCCAGGATTTGGTGCTTTCAAGTTCCTTTAGTAATACCTGAAGAAGATTATAATATCAATTATCAGAATTAAAATGTATTTCCTGAATGTTTTATTGACAAGCTGCTAGTACAACAGAGGGTAGCTTATAATGTCATCTGTGTATGTTTTGTGATAATAAAATCAAGTCAATCACTAACATACAAAGTCTACTAATACTTCTGATGTTACTTGAACTATTGTGACTCAAAATAGTAAAACATGTAGATGTCAGCATAGCAACATCAGTCTGTCACAAGCTTATGAAGTATTGATCTGTAATTGACAGCTTTCATTCGGGTCTCAGTCTTGGTCTTTGGACCTTCCTTGTGGACTACAATTTGTATTCAATCTTCATGGGAGAGAAAGAATTTCACTACTAGTGAGGATATAACCATTTTGGGGGTCATTGATACACAAAACATGCTATTGATATTAATACTAGGAAATGCAGCAAAATTCTTACATACTTAACACATTTTGAGATGGTTAGTAGCTACTACAGTCAAACCTGCTTCAGTGACCACCTGTATATAAAGACCACCTCTCTACAAAGACCACATGTTTTGTTTCCTTTGAAAATGGTTTCTCATTGGAACATGTACTAAAGGAACCTGTCTACAAAGACCACCTGCCTATAAAGACCCCTTTTCTTGCCTCCCTTGGGTGGTCTTTATAGAGAGGTTTCACTGTACCATCATCATACTGGTAGTATTCTCCCCCATAATCTGCAATCATTTGCCATACTTACAAAAAAGAATACCACAAGTGACTTACCCCTGTATCCAGTCTGGTTATTTCCTTTAGCACCCATATCCTGTGGCTCCAAGCATTGTAATTACTTGGATACCTATCAGCTGCTGCTCTGCAGGCATCCATCTCACGATCCACCACCTGCCGATGTCTCTCCGTCAGCTCAAAGGCATCAGCAGGGTGGGATGCGCTCCCTGCGGGGTGCGCTGGAGTGCCGTTGGAGTGATGCTGATTGTGGAAGGAGTTGCCGTTTGCTTGTTGTGCGGTGGAGTGGTGATGGTGGCTTGGTTGTGTACGTTTGGAAGATGATGTTGATGTTGATGACGGGAACAGCTGTTGTAACAGCCATCTCCTATAAATAAGAGAAAACATAACATTGATTTGGTCTGACCTGCAGAATTTGATTTCTAAACATCATTGTAGCTTTAACTTACTATTTAATATCTAAACAAGTAAACATGAATTCTCATTCATAAAGAATATTCAAAATTTACATTTTCTAGATGTATTTCTTCACAATAACTGTCTATCTTAGAAAGCTCTATTACTCTGGCTTAAAACTTAACTGCCAGGTGTGTTTAATAGAGGTGGCTAAGAATATATCAATACAGTACCTCTGAATGAAAGTTTCTGGGCTCTTTGGATGTTTGGTTTGGATTAATGTTGCCAATTTGAGGTCATCCTCTGCTTTGATATAATGTTTGGTTACCAGTTCCTTCCTATTGCAAAATAAATATACAAAAGGTAAGAGTACATGTAGATCAGTATTCAAATTCCAGACAACAGAAATATTGAATTCACCAGTAATCATATTCTCTAAAATAGGTATGATATCAAAATTACAATTAACTCCTATATATTTATGAAGAAAAATAATCGAAATGTAATATCCTTTTAAGACATAGACGTATTCATACTCCTTAAGGCTTAAATAACAAAGAAGTGGTTTAGATGCAATGGCTCTACACATAGACTCTAGCAATTAATTGTTATGGAACTGGGTGGTCCCAAATTTTGAAACAATCTACATATATAGTACTTGGTACTAGTATATCAGTTCCACTGAAAAAGGCATTAATATTTACTTTAGGGATTAATATAGTAATAGTTTTTGCATTCATTTCTTATTGACATCATACATGATGTAACTGATTCTTTCAGAGCCCAATGTAATCATGGAACCAACTAACTTGCCCTTGAAAACACTTCTAGCTGGCCTACCTTTATCAGACAAAGACAAAAGTTAGTTTTGTATTTTAACCCATTACATACAGGAACCGTGTGGCCCCTGTATTAAAAGCCTATCAGAATAAGAGAATCCAATTGTCAATAGGTTAACAAGAGACGCTAGAAAGAATCTTGAAACTTACCTCAAGTTCCATACTGTGTAACAGTCTGGATTGAGTAAAAGCACTGTGCAGCTGAATTCATGTAAAGATTTCAAATCTGTCATCAAGTGTCAAAGAGAGAGAGAGAGAGAGAGAGAGAGAGAAACACAAATAGAAATTAATGTATTCAAAGGTTACTTCATTACGTACAAAGAGTAAATACATTGTAGGCCAAATCAATCCTAATATAAGACTGGACAAGGAAAGCCGTCTCTAAAAATAGGATAAATGTAACTCCATGTAGTAATTGTAGTTCATCAAAGTCAAGATTTATTTCTGTCAATATGTTCTGCATCACAAAGGCCTACGGTATTCTGAATATCTTATAAAACTATAGACTACGTTTTTTGGTTGGTTTAATTCAGCATCATTACAGTGTATGGAATCAGTCAAATTTGACTATTATCACTACCTATCTTATACATATTTTTTTTAGTATGAACTTTAATTATAACAAACATTTAATTCACCTCTCTCTGTTATCATATTTATTTTTGTGTGTGTGTGTCCCTGTATAAATACCCTTTCCTGCTGCTGTATTCTTTAACAGGTTGTTGTAGACAAAGTTGAATAGGAGTTTAATGCTCCATGTTTGCAGACCAAGTTTATGATTCTCTAGCACCACAGGACTTCTATTCACTACAGGCTCAGGACAGTAGATGAAGTCAAACTCATCACTAGAAAAACAAAAAGAAATAAAACGATCAGGACACAACAAGAAATGTTACAGTTTGCAGCTATAGCAATTAATGAAAATTAACACATCTAAAGAGTCTAGTACATGGTTACATACAATGAATCCATGTAGAGTCTTGGACCTATAATGAGTGCAAAATATATTTATACAAACAAATATTTAATAATTTATGAGTCTGAGAAAAAGGGATAAGCAGGATTGAAAGTACCAACAAAATAAAATTAGGAAGGGGCAAGAGCAAAAATCAGAGAAACAGTCTAATGAAAGAAAGTTTAAGAAAAATCAGAACAAGTATGGGGGAATTTCCCCACCGACGATTTGGTCACCACAGAATATGGGACATCGTCTATATAGTCTTGCTAGTCATAATTACATATTATTCCAGACATTTAAGTGTTGAAATCTCTTGAATGGTGTTAAATGGGTACCCGGTAGGATGCGACCGTCATTGTTGGTCAAACAGCTTGTGAGCGTCAAGTAACGCCCGGCTGGAATGCTCCCCAGGGAGTGGAGATTGTGCACACAGTGTGTGTGGGCAAGCACTGAATCCAATGACCGGGGTAATATTTGAAAAGCGCTTAGAGACATTTGTATTATACAAATATACACTGCCTTGAGAGGTTCTGGTTAAAACTATGCGCAAGAGGTGACTCCAATAGTACTATTTGCTGAGGGGCGCAGCCCCGAAGCAAATGGTACTTTTGGAGTCACCGAGGCCCATAGTTTAACCAGTACCTCGAATAGAAGGCATGGTATATTTGTTTTAATTATTTAATTATTTTTATTATAAAAATAAAAATAAAAAAAACATTTTTGGGACAAACAAATTTAGAACAAAAAAATGTCAATTTTATCTAAAAAGATTTGAAATATTTTGTTTTTAGTAAATTAAGATTTGAAAAAAAAAATTGATTCAATTCAACAAAAAAAAATTCACATTTTTTTTCAACTCCCAAATACCGTAGTAAACCAAAATAGAACTCTCATATAGTACTTTCTAAAAAAAGGTCAAATACTTCTGGTCATGTGACGAGCTCTCAACCAATCAAAAGTCAACAAATTTTTGATGCAGGATATAATTAGCGCTATATCAAAATTAAATATTATCATTGTTATCTTTAAAAGCCTAGCTGCATGTCTCATGTCTTATTTTCATGGAAAAATGGTTGGGAAAATTCAAAAATGTTTGGGAGAATTCACTGTTAAATATTAATAGAGGGTGTCGCACAAGCATGTGCACAGTGATGCCTTCAAAGAAAACCATAACAACCTTCAACAATGTTACTGTGCCACTTAAAGAATAATAGACCTAGATTCAAATTGAATTAGATCTAGATCTAACAAGGTAAGTTAGAGTCGAGAAGGATTTTGTCTTTATAACGCCAATAACGGTTAAACAATAACGTGTCAATTCAAAGTTTCAATTCGCCGAATTACAAATAGTAATCTAATCTGTATGTTTAACACCTTCTGAAAATAAAACAAGTGCAATTTGCTTTAGGATTCCCCCCCCCCCCCCATCCTTCTTAGTGCACTGTCAGTGCAGTGTCATCAATTATTAGTCACCATCCACACATAAAAAAAATAATGAGTTCAAAATCAAAACAAAAGAGAAAGATCAGAGACCAATTCATACATTTTAGGATCTCGTCGAAGAGCGCTGCTTAGGTCCGCCAATATTCTCCTCGGTCGGCTATCATCTCCCATAATTCACATCAGAATAGAGGCAAAAGTCAGGGGAGAATCCTTAGATTAGTAGCACAAAATCAGTCGGCTAGCGCTCTCTCGCTTCTATAATACAGATAATAGTTATCAGACAAAAAAGACAGAAATAGGAGTCTTCGCGTGGCCAATTTGAAATAAGAATGATATTGTTGCATAATTATATTAAGAGAATCAATTTGAAAAAACAAACACTACAAATTTGAATTTTTAAATTATTTTTTTGTAATATATATTTCTTGATAAGATTTTAAACCTAGAAAAGCACACATTTATGCCTTATCAATTTTACAAAATTTGAAGTGATCATGTATTTGATAGATTAGGTTTACCGATATCGCGCGCGCGCATCGCGCGAATATTTAGTCTTCTAATTTTCGGTGCTCCTTGAAAGAGATTGAGAGGTAAGGAAACTCCATCATCTTTTTGACTAAGACTTACGCAAAGGTAGATTAATGTTAGGTCTAAAGCTCGGTACAAAGTGACTGAAATTGCACCATTTAAACTTTTAACAGATTATCAATTAGGCTATATTGACAAACTTGAAAGCAATTTCTGTTAGTCACGATGAGATGTGGGAGATCCGGAGATAAGGTGCGAAGGCCACAGCTGCCTAAGCCTAGGCGGCTACGGACCCGTTAAATAGTCTGGTTATCTATAGGTTGGGGTCGGCGGGCGCGGGGCTTTTAAATTTTAAGTTTAGGCTTTATCGTTAGCTAAGCATTCTAGTTATCCTTTTTGTCAGCAAAACTTAAAGTTTTCTTACACATTGACAGGACATGGCACTGTGAGTAGGGCCTAGTAGGGGAATAAGGAGAATAAGGATTGTCTGCATAGACCCTGTAAATGAGGATCGTCTCCGTAAATGTGGACAAACGCGTCCTAAAATTTAAAAATATGGATTGTCCGCATTTTCGCGGACGATCCTTATTTCCGATGCGCGCTATGGTAATACAAAAAAGGATTCTGCGATGATGCTCCTTGATACATTTCACATTCACTTTGCATAGAATTAGAGAGACTTTCACATAGACCTAGGTCTAGATCTACGATAAATCCTTGGAAAGACGGACAACCCATAAATTAAACTAGACAGTGAACTGGGGATATTTTGTTACGCAAAATCTGTTTTTCGTACTGACAGGACGCGGATCGGGAATGGAACCCTTCACCCGCAGAGCGCGGAATAAAAAAAAAAGGAATTAAAAAAGACTAGAATAAGACCGCCAAACTTCGGACACTTAAGACAAAACGGGGGAAAACATTAAATTCTTGTTTTAATTAGGCCTATTGAAAGATCAAATATATTATTATTGTGCAAATACTGTTTATGTATTTCATGAAAAGAAAATTAGTAAAGGAAATGGAAAACTAGAATTATTTACTTACCCGCTGAACCATCGGGAATGGTACCCTTCACCCGCAGAGCGCGGAATAAAAAAAAAAAGGAATTAAAAAAAACTAGAGTAAGACCGCCAAACTTCGGACACTTAAGACAAAACGGGGGAAAACATTAAATTCTTGTTTTAATTATTGAAAGATCAAATATATTATTATTGTGCAAATACTGTTTATGTATTTCATGAAAAGAAAATTAGTAAAGGAAATGGAAAACTAGAATTATTTACTTACCCGCTGAACCTTTTTTCATGCCAAGCTTCGGACACACTTGCCAAGCTTCGGACGTTCATGTGTAGCGCACGTACAGCGCACGTATAGCGCGCGCGCTAAAATGCGCATTCATCGGAGGTTTGGAAACCGGATCAAAAATCATACGACGGGGGTAAGTTTGACTGCGTTGATTTCATGAAAAAAGTATTATTTTCTCGTTTTGGGTAGATTTATGTTAGCTAGAACTATCAGAAAATTGTTTTTCACAACACTAATATTTTGGTGCTAAAATCTTACGAAAGTGCTATTTTTTCGTAGTCAAAATGACACTCAATATTGCCTGTCCGAAGTTTGGAAGAGCGCCATCTTCTGGTAGGGGAACCTGTATAGTACCCCTAGGTCCGTGGTAACGGCCGCCATTAGAAAATTTTCGCGATAGAGTGAAAAAGTATCTCATAAGCTCCCATAATTTTGATAGAAACCACCTGAAATATGCCAAGGATTTGTTTATAATCGATATATTGGAGGCTCTACACCTTAACTCCCCTGTTAAGGAACTGTAAAAATCTAGGTAACCTGAAATCTGTCTCTGAATTAGATGTTTTTTGTGAGTTTTGCAGACGGCAACCTGCACTAACTTTCTGTACTAACTGTATAGGTTAGTAGTAGTATCAAATGCATGCAAGTTACCCGCCTGAGCTACATGTAGGCTCATATTTTGCGTTCGAGCCGTTGAAGTAAATTTTGTCCGAAGTTTGGCAACGTCAGAAGTTTGGCGGTCTTACTCTATTCCTTTAGGACCCGATTTGTCAGCGTTCTTGGATCTTGGATTCATTTCCTCCTAAATTAGAGTAAAGGAGGGGGTAATCGACCATCTCCAGTTTTCGGACGATCCATTGGATGCATGGTAAAATCCCTTTAAAATACATCGCATAATAGCATAGGTAATCGGCAGTTCCTCTACCCGAATCTGAAAAATCGAGTATCTAACATGTGTCTGTAAGAAATATGGGTACCATATGAAATGAGCTTTATTTGAAGTATTTTTCAGATTTAGAGCCCGATTTTGTGCGAGTCGCAAGCTCAAAATTATCTCATCGCATGTATTAAATCAATGCAGGCGGACACCGCAACACACACACGATATCTCTGTCTAATTCAGATTCCAATTTCCGATCAACGCAGAGCTAGTTTTCGACCTGGCGAGCACCGTGGAGCTCCGGCGTGGGATACCTACTCCGCCCGCCAGTGCTATAGATCAGCGCAGAAACACGCGCTTGCGCTTCCTATTGACTTTGTACATGCGGTCAAAAACTGGCTTGCTATGCCGATAACTGCCTCCGAAACAGTGAAAATTGAAATGAATATTGTCATGGCAATTCGTGATTTTTTTTCTGGGATTTTTTCGTTGTTTTAATAACAATAATATTTGCTTCATGATTTAAACAAGAAATGATAATAAATAGGAAGTAAAGAGTCCCCAAAAATAGGATTTTTTCTTAAGTGGTCAAAAAAACCCTCCTTTACTCTACTCCGAAGAAGAGTTTTGACTGGAGGCGTTTACGAGGATATCCTCGTTTATGCGGACGATCCTCATTCTCAAACCAGCGCCCCTACTAGTGGAAGAAGAAATACACCTCTTAATTAATTTGACTTTAGAGTTTAGATATCTAGATCTACCACGAGTTCCAGTTCAACATGTCTACTAAACTAAAGTTAACTTAAATGTTGTCTTTTTATAGTCTTACTCTTTAATAATAGTCTAACTTCTAGTAATAGTCTACAGACCAACTTCCTTAGATTTTTCTATAGTTTAGTCTTTACTATAAATAATTTTACTAGTTTCAGACATGAGCCCAGTTTTAGTTTTCCTTAGTTTTACTTTTACTTAAAAAAAGTTTAAGGAAATGAATCAATTAGGCCAGCCAGGCAATGATTCAATGCCAATGTCATGGCATTGTCACTTGTCAGTGTCTAGACAGAAATAATTGTGTGGTGGTCTATGAGGTATTCTGTAATAAAACTTGCTTTTGTCAACCTTCCCAAATATTTAGTACACATATGGTGACACTTGCTGCACATTATCAATTCTGTATCTATATTGTATTTTCAGGAAGTCAAGGAACATGAGCTCATCACCATGGGGGGCTCCCCCTCCCGCTAAGGATCAAAGGCAACCATTTTTTCCATCTGGGCAGAGCAGACCCCCCTTTCCACCATATATGAATCAAGGAGCACCATCAAATCAGTGTCAGAACCAATCTTCAAATGCCCCATCTTACACCCACTTCCCACCAGCACCTTCTGCATCTATGGCTCCTCCAAATGCTGGAGTTGGGCATGGTTTCCACCCCCCACCCCAGCCTCCTCGGTTTCCATCTGTGCCTCCTCCGCTGCCACATGGTAATCAGTTCGGGGGGAGTGGTCAAACACCCCGCATGACACTACCCCCTCCTCCATTTCCCGTTCCACCTCAACAGCAGCAACATCCTGGGAGTGATGGTGGATATCAGCCAGTCAGTAACATGATGTTCAATCCCTCGCTTCCTCAAACTGCTCTTCAGCCTCCAAATGAATGGTCAACGAACTCGTCCCTGGCAGGTCAAGGGCATGGTCAGTGGAACCACAGAAGAATGGAGAACAACTATCAGCTCCAGAATATGAATAATAGTACCCAGAACAAATTTACACCGTACCCGCAGCAAGCCAGCAGAAGACACATACATGGAGACTCCAACTCAGGACAGACCAGGCTCCAACCCTATCAGTCATTTAGGAGCAAGCAAGCAGAGGGGAGTCACCATAATTCTTTTCCAGGGAAAACTAAAATGGCACCAGGAGGGGATGGACTCCGTATTGCTGACTTGAAGCAGAGTATGACGACAGAGGTTGACCAGCCAGAGAAAGCAGAGAGTGAAGATCAGAAGTGGGTCAATCAGTGGTCAAAATCCCTCAAAAGAGGAGATGTGTCCAAAGAAGCAACAAAACCAATATTAAAGGTATGGGAGCTTCCCAATAAAATAATGTTCAATGTACATATTCATGAACTAAAAAGTTAACCAAGGCAGTTTTTCATAAAAATGACATTCAAAGATAATACTAACTTTCACCTCTTCAAAATTTATCTGAGAAGAATGTATCCACACAAAAAAATTGATGGTCATGCTACCTGTTTTCAACATTTCTTTTCACAATTACTTAAAGGGTACATAATTGAAAGTAGAATAAATGTTGATATAGGATGGAATCTATTTTTCCAATTTTCTAATTGGAAATTTGCCCTGAAATAGCAATGTTGACATTTGCAATGTTGCTTATATATTTAGAATGTTATCATTACCATTTCAGCATCATATCAATATTCCCTTCTCTTTGCATACCCTTTTAGATATCTGAAGCTAGAATATTGCTGTTCAATTTCTTGCATTTATTGGATCAACTGAAAAAGAAGAGAGAAGAGGCATCAGATTCCTTGATGAAGGAAACAGATGAAAGCAAATGGTCTTATCTCTGCAAAGAAATGGACAAGCAAGCGGTAAGCTAGATTTAATGAAGATATTGTGATCGTTTCTATTACTGGGTAAATTATAGTACAGTTAACTCTGCATCAGTTTGAAGCTGTTGATCGCAAAAGATAGTTTAACTTACGCAAAATTTGACTAAGGTAGGAAGTATACATGTACATAACACACGTCTTGCATATTTTGGACCAAAAATTGATTTGAATGAAGGGTTAACTGTCGGATTGTTTTACTTAATCTTTCATGGAGATTCAAATAGTGATCTGCAAATGGGCAGTGTAATTTAGGAATTGACCCATGCCAATTTCTGTCGAATGTATCACATTCTGATTAAATCCATTGAGAAAGGAATTGATATTTGATGTACTAGCTGTCATGTGTCATCAATCATTTTATCTCCCTCAGGAAGACTTGTCAAAGCTAGAGTCAAGAATAAGCCAACCAGAGTTTATCGAGGGACTCAAGAGCCAAATAGAAAAGAAAAGAAGAAAGAGGGTAAGTGCAAGAGGAGTTTCAACATAATTATGATATCACCAAAAGATGTGATAACATATATGACCGTATATTCTAATGTCAAGTTACATGGGGTATCTTATTACTATCTTCATTTAATCAATCTGTTGCTTTGAGATCATATTTTGTTATTAATTGAAATTTGTTATAAACATGAATTTACATAAAGGATATTAAATTGAAATTTCAATGGATAATGGCTCTCTATCACCACCAGAGTAAAATGGAGCTATAGGTTTATACAGACAGTATACATGTTGCAGTTGCAAACAAAATTGTTTCATTTAGAGCCTGTCGCTTTTAATACAGTCAAACGTGCTTTATAGTAACCACCTGTATAAACAGACCACATTTTGTTTGTCTACCTTGAAAAGCGATTTATATTTACACAGTTATCAGAAGAAACCTGTACATGAAAACAATTTTTGTGTCTCTCTTATGTGGTCTTTGTATACAGGTTTCACTGTACTTAAATATCTTCATTTTATGGAATGTGGAAGATAATGGATCTTTCTGGGTTGTCATTATGAGTAGTTTAAAGGGAAAGTCCACCCCCAAAATAAGTTTGTTTCGATAGAGGCAGAATAATAAGAAAATCAGGTGAGTGAAAGTTTGAGCAAATTCTGAATGAAAATAAGAAAGTTATGAATTATTGAAGTTGTGATCAATCAAATACAAATTGGCAACTCTGTGACCTATTATACGAGCTCTCCTTCATTTGCTTTGTGCATAATATTCCATAAAATCATGTTTTCTTCGTTATTGATGACGGAATATATATTTGTTCCTTGCAGGGGGAGTATAGAAACATATTTGCAATTATTATATTTAGGGTGCATGTATGGTTGAAATTTTTCTCGAGGGAAAATGAAAATTTTAGAATTTTTTAGTACTGAGCAAATGGAAGTTGAGCTCGCATGATACGTCATAGAGTTGCCAATTTGTGTTTGATTGATCACAACTTCAATAATTCATAACTTTCTTATTTTCATTCAGAATTTGCTCAAACTTTCACTCACCTGATTTTCTTATTATTCTGCCTCTATCGAAACAAACTTATTTTGGGGGTGGACTTTCCCTTTAAACAATATATTAGTTGTGGACATTTCAGTGCACCTTGTTTATTAATTTATCAGGAAAGATACAAGAGGCATCGTCTAGGAGAATGGGAGATGGGAGAAGAGGCACTAAGAAAGCGGAATGACAAAATAGACGCTTCAATGGCTGCAGCGCTCCACGCCAAACAAGAAAAGGAACAAGTAAGCATTGTCTTGAGTGTAGATTCTTGACGTTTAAATCAAATCTCAAATTCTGTATTTATGTGTTGTGGTCCAGTGGATAATTCTCTGGACAGTGAACCACATGGTATGAGGTTCAAACCTGTACCGCAGCAGTAATGTCCTTTTACAAGACATTATTCTACAACACTTGACCCAGGTGAAGGTAATGGGAACCTGGCAGGAATTCATTCCTTAAAATTCTGGAGTGCTGTATAAATGGCAGCCTTGCTAAAGTGGCAATGTGCCAAACATGAGTGTTAGGCCTAAACAAAAAAAGATGTTGTATTTTCCTTTGCGACCGACCCCAAAATCTTGAAATCTACAGTCGGTTTTTTAAAAAAGTTTTGTTTTTGTTTACAGTTTTTTACCCCAAAAAATATTAAAGCATTTAAAACTGATAAATATCAGCCCAGAGAGGGAGAAGAAAAAAAAAAATTAAAAAAGAAAAGATTTCCGACCGACCGACCTATGTTTTGGGACCTAAAGGGCAATACAACATCTTTTTTTTTTAAAGGCCTTATATACAAGAATCTACTATTTTTTATTAGTGTTATATAGGATTCTGTCATTAAGATGAAGAATGTCAAATTCAACTACTTTTCTTTTTTACCCAGGAAGAGGTACTGCAAAAAGAAGTTGACCAGGTCCTGTCTGAGGTTCATAAAAAGAAACAGGATGCCAACAAGACGATGGAACTATTCAGAGCTCTCCGTAAACTGAGACAACTCCGAAAAGAGTCTGCTGAGAAAGGAGGTTCGTCTTTTGTCATCTTCTTGACAAGTGATCATATTGAGCTCATGTGTACTGTATTTTGTTTGATTGTAAACATGTTCTTACATCTTTTTTTATTAGCTGACCATGATTTTATGTTACATTAATCTTATCCAAAATGTTTGAATCAGGGTTATGATATTCTCCTTCATATGAAAAAAGTGGTCACTTTTGTAGTATGTCACTGTTCCTGTATTCTTCATGCACATTTAATTGGAAAATTATTTTAAAAATCATTATGCAGTCGAAAATGCAATTCCCATGTCTTGTTGTATGTAAAGATGTGTTTGATGGGTCTGTAATATTTAACCAGTAAAGAAGTAAAGTCATGACTGATTTATGTTACATCATTTTTACATGTAAATGGAAATACATCTTTTATAATGTTTCTTATGTCGAATTTTGGCTATAATGTACTTTTATGATCATGTATAAAGGGTTCCGAGTCTAAACTGAATAGTCCTTGCTAAAACAGTAACCATTTGTAGTTCAGCCTCTGGCTGTAAAGAACATTCACATCTTCCAACATTGAGACAATATTATCATCACTTTAATATTCACGATTGCCTTCTCTCATATTTTAACTGTAGTAGGGTACAAAGCTCCAAGAGTATTAGACGAGAGGTTCAACAAGAAGATGTCTGTCTTGGAAGAAATGATGAATAAACAGAAACTTCTCTACATTGAAGAAGAGAAAGCACTTCAGGTAAATCAGAAATAAATAACTTGCAAATTAGGCTGTGTATATGGAGTTGGCTGCTACATGAAGCAGTAGTCTTTTCTCTTTGTACTAATCTTTCAATCAGGAATAAGAATTGAATATATACATGTATATATATTTGTAATATTGAATGTATAGTCTTTATGAACACTTTAAATGTGTATTTATATTTTTATACGTTTGTGTGCATTCGTCCTTTTGTAATGTGCTGGGTAGACTTTTTCAGCTACATCTCACTGCCAAAATTTGGTTGCTTGAGCATTTGACATCCTAGTGTTTTTTCCCCCCTCTTTTTTCTTGCAGAGAGGGGAAGGGGGGGGGGGGGGTGGAGGGCAGATTGGTTAAACAACAGCCACTGTAAGAAAGAAAAAGGGCTGGTAAACTGTGTAGAAGCGTCAGTCTTCAGTTTAATCCAACATTCATTGATTTCTTTTATAGGTGATGTTAGAAGAAGAACACGAGGAGACAAGAGAGAAAGCAAGACAGAAGAAAGAACTGAAGGAACGACAGAAGGCAGAGAGAGCATGGGAAGAACAATTAGAGTTACTCTTTGGAAAAAGTAAGATGCTAGAGAAATCTAAACTAGTGCTGGGGGTGTTTCACAAAGACTAAGATCGACTTTAAGTTTGATTTAACTATGGCAGGCCTTTCATGCCACTGTTTGCTCTCACCATTAGCTGGCATTGGTCTCTCAAAGAACGTACAAACCATGGTCACAAATCTACAGAATTTACATTTTTGGACAATTGATTATTGAAGGAAAATATATTATCTAAAGATCATAATGGTGAGAGCAAACAGTTGCATGAACGGCCTGCCATAGTTAAGTCCAACTTAAAGTCAACCTTAGTCTTTATGAAACACCCTCTGGATATAATCGTAGTCATTCAATCTAGTTTAGTACATAGTATCAAATGTCAATCCTGTTTTCAATTGTATGTTGTCTGTGAGGTGGTCTGCTATGTGCTCAGGAAATATTTTTGTGAAGCTTATTTTGTCAACGATAAAGTGTCGGGGCTTGATTTGTAGGGTATATTTAGGGTCTTCGCCAGGTGATATGCTGGGTCCAGGGTTCAAGTGTGATAGAAGATTATCAATTGAAATTTGACTGCAGAGCATATTTGTTGCGAGAAAACCATTCTCAAGCAACACTTGTAACATTTGAAATAGTTATTAAATAAATGATGTAAGCAAATAATAACATTCTAGTGAAATAATCTACTGTTCTAATTTTTTTTCTTTTTCAGCAGAAGAGTTGGAACTGGGACATCCATTATTCATGTTCCGACAGTTTCACCAGCAGGCTAGTCACGATCTTCAATCTCTCACTAATATAAGGTTAGTATTTTTATCAGCGAATGCATGACAAGCTAACCGACTAAAGAAACTGAACATGATGATATCATTTTGTTGATTGATGGAGAGTGAAAAGCTACTTGAACGTAGGCCTAAATGTTGTTATACAGATCACATGTGTCATTATAGTTGTGTAATGAGAAATTACTCTTTCATAGATAATCTTTTTCTTCTGTGCTTTACTTTTCAACACCCTTCAAAAGAAGTCAAACGTGTATGGTAGGTTGTATGTTCATCATGCAGAGGGCATCATGGATTAAAAAGATACACATTTGTCATGTAGTTGTGTAATGGGAAATTACTCTCTCTCTTAGATAATCTTGTTTTCCTATCCAGTTTACTCCTTACATTATACTTGATCAACTATTGGGTTTTAGTAATCTTTCATGTTTGATAATCATTTAAGTATTTTGGGTAAATTCTGTGTTTTTGGGGGTCATGATTGCATTATTTTGGAATATACACTGATATTTATATTTTTTTCTCTTTCTGTATCATGATGCAGATGCCAGTGGGATATGTTTGTTGTTCCAGAATCAGATCGAGCTGGATCTAGTATTCCAGTGTCATGGGTCATGCCCTCTGACCCCTTGAATCACATCTGGGCAACAGCGATGGTGGATTCCTCTGGCACCTGACAATAAGAGATAATGTCAAAGGTCATCTCCGTAACTTAACAATCACATAACTGGGGCAACAGGCGAGTCGGCTCAGTCGGTAAAGCGTCCATCTCTCGAACCAAAGATCCCGGGTTCGACTCCTACCCAGGGGGATGACTGAAGCCTGCGTTGTGTGTTAACGTGCCCCTTCCCTCGTTCATAGACGCAGGTTATGTTAAGTGGAAAATACTCCATCCCTCGGATAGGACGTTAAATGGAAGCCCCGTGTAGAGAAGAGTCACTACCTTTGCACGTTAAGAACCCACTGCACTATTCGTATAAGAGTAGGGGGAAGACCCCGGTGTAGTGGTCCACCTGCTCACACCCCCAGTATAGTTCGATAAAACTCTGTAAAGAGGTCTGTACTCAATAAGGAAGAAGAAGAAGATGGGCGATGGTAGATTCCGCAGAAATCTGACAGGAGACAGTGTAGAAGGTCCTGCCCCCTGACCTAGCAACCATATGTGGGGAAGAGCTGAGTTCATGACCTGAGCCCTCTGACTTGGCAATAACTTCCTTGCAACTGCAGTGGTAAATTCTCACACGACAGCTTGAGATTAGCTAAACAGATAACCATGTGCTTATATGGAGAGATAGTTGTAGACGTACCTGGCAAGATCCAATGTCAAAGGTTTGGGTGTGTGACCTCTCAAGTTACCTCTAGGTAACAGGAATAGAACCCTGAGCTCCTAATAGCAAATGGCAGTACTGAAGATCATGCTATGTGAACCAATATATCATATACATGTATTTGTGATAGCGATGTGTTTCAAATAGGGCTGCGACGAGAAGTCGAATGCTCGAGTACCCGCACGGTTGACAACTACTTGAGTACGATTTCTCGTACTCAAATATTCGGCCACAAAAAAAAAAAAAAAAAAATAAAAATCCCAGGCCAACGCTTACCCGTGCCAGGGAGAGCGGCGGCCGCTGGCATGGTACCGTCCGTAAAAATGTTTCCCAACTCAAGCACTGTCAAACTCACCACTCAGAAACTGGGACCAAATGTCTGGATTTCTGTTTGGACTCTGAGGAAAATGGATTATTCTGCCATCTTTGGTTTTTAAAACAGCATTGTTTACTGTTATTATTATTATTAAATCGGCGCCTTCAACTGCAACTCGAAGTAAAATTGCATGCGTTTTCGGCGATGGACTTGGGATACTGCTCTAGTGGTATGGTGGTGGCAAAAAAATCCAAAATTTTTTAAATCCAAACAAAATCCAAAAATGTCAAAAAAATTATAAAAAAACATGGCGTCCGAATATTCAAGTATTCGCTTGTAAGCCTGGGAGTGTACTCGGGTACCTCATTACACTGTTGTGCACAGCCTTAGTTTCAAATTGTCACCTTTGAACTCTGACCAAAACAATGAGGAGATTGAATATTCATCAAAGAATATTGCATGACAAACATGAGATAATTGCATGTAGGTCAAATCCATGAAAATTGTCCAAAAGAAGGTAAATATACAGGGGTTATATCGAGGGATATGGGATCTTTTTTATTGTGATGAGGGCAAAATCACTTGAGTTTTTTATTCTTTTATTTTTATTTTGGCCCTTGATAAAGCTAGTGCTGTTATTTATCGGTAAAAGCAGTTAAAGTAAACGAGGGTGAGACATGCAGTTTGTAGATAATATTTTCATTAATAAAAGCTGGAAATGGTGGAACAAATTCTTATTGTGTGTTGCATGCTATTATTTTGTACGTGTCCTTCAAGTCAACCATCATGAATAATGGTTGAAAACTAATTATCACATTGGTCAAGATGTTTAATTTTAGATACTCTGAACTCTTCTTAAAATAGGGTTGTTGTTTGACCATTGCATTATAAACCAGTTTGTAATTAATTAATTAATTAATTAAAGTCCGAACATGATCAGAAACTGTAATTTGAGAATTTCACATCAATATGTATACTTCTTAATCATGACAGCATGTGTATGTATGTGCCAATGGTGAATTTGTATCATCATGGAGAAGTACTTCATTTAAAGAGAAGGAAAACATGATGAAACAGAGTACAGCTCCATCACTATCACGATGGTTGTTCTGAAATGCAGAGAGGGACTCTTTATTGGTTTCAAAACTATTTCATTATTCAATGCAGGTGTCATTTTGGGGATGAGCTAATTTGCTACAAACTGGTCTGTTATGGGTCATTCCTTGTGGTTGCTTATGGCTTTAGATTTAGATCAAGCCAATTTTACGAAACATACTAATTTTTCACTGACTAAATATGCGATGTGTCCAGGAATAGACTGAAAAAAGCAGAGAGTAAAAGAGAGAGAGAGAGAGAGAGTGTGAAATGAAGACGAGTAAAAAAAAATTTAAAAAAGGATGAAGAGAAGACAAGACAAAATGTGATCTGTATTGAGAGAGAAAGATAAAAGTAGAAAATGGAATACAGAAGAATCATGTGAACATGAATAATAATTGAACAATTGTTGGAGACGGACCTTCAGATTCAATTCTAAGGATGAATAACTTGATACAAACTTCTCTTTGATTGCTTCATGTAGTATCATTTTATTTCTCATATTTACCTGTCTATACATATAATTTACAGAACCTTAAGTCATATTTACAAAGTAATGAAATAGTATGGAAAATTATACAGAAATCAAGTTAAAACTAAGCAACATTCTGCAATAAACAAAAGAATTTCAATATACAAAGTATACAATTGTACAAGACGAAGCATAAAATAAAATAAAATTTACACAATAAATAAATATGGACCTCTGGAAAACTGATCTTCTCAAACCAAGAGAGTACACTGTCTGCACTAGATAATGCTGACCAACCTAGTAATGCGTTTAAATGTAATGCATACTCCTTAGTAGTAAAGATTGACAACCTAAACGCTGGTTTGGGTCACCTGTAAAAAAGCTGTCACGTTTCCATTGAATATCCAGATTGTAGAGTAGACCTTTGGACAATTCACTCAATAAGAGTGCAAGTCTGTATATTTTGCGATGCGAATGAAGTATGAAATTGCCCTCTGTTATTCATTAATTTACATTTGAGATCTACCATTTATGATAAGCTGGCCAATTGCCCTTTAAAAAAAAAATTCATATAAGACATTTCAAAACTGTTGGTCGCAAATCTTCCGCATAAACATCAACTGCCTAGTAGTAGCATTTAACCATCAAAGGAACTTGCATATATATGCATGAATTTTGATGTTAAAGGAAACCTCACCCCAAAGAATAAGTGTAGGTATTCTGAAAAATGAGATGTATTCCAAACCTTTGATGTACAAAATTCCTTACGAAAATATACAGGAGATATATAAATGAAGATGTTCTCTTTCATACACTTTGGTGGGGAATCTTGTAGATTAATGGGCAAAAATATAATAAATCTCCCAGAGATTAATTAAAGTTATTTCTTGGGGTGATGTTTCCCTTTAAGGAAGAAACTCTTTATCTTTTAAGCTTGAATGCATAAAATTTAGTAATAGTTGATGACTACATCACAACAACATTGCTTCCGTCTAACACACAGGGATCGTTAAAGTCATAAAATAAAACAAAACTAAACCAGATACAGTTGAATAAAAACAAGGATGAGTTTCATAACGCATCTATTACAACACTCGTATCAGTCTCTAATTTAAAAGATTATTCACGCACAACCAGTTGAAAGTAAATACTTATCTTTCATTTTTTATACAAATCCACGCTTTCACTCCGGCAATCGTTTATTAGTTTGAAACAGTGCATTATTACAATTTGAGGCAAGTTCCGCATCATTAGCCAGGCTCAAATTGAATGACAAATGTGCTTGTAGCATTATTACTACTAATGATAGTTTTGGTGGCTTTTTGTAAAGCACTAGCGTCCATCAAGCCTTCATGGTCCTTGCGCTCCAGCATTATTACCCGGTCTCAGGTACCCATGTGCACCTGGGTAGAGAGTGGCAAATGTGGAATAAAGTCTTGCCACAGGATGAAAGTGCTGGGCTGGGTTTTGAACCCTCAAACCTCGGAATGAGAGTCGAGTGAATAAACCACTATACCACTACAAATGGCTTCACAAACATGTCAGGTCTGATAAATATAGTGTATGTCCATGTACTGGCTATTCAATCATCGACCAGCAGTTTAACAATAATAATAGTACAGTACAACCTGCATATAAAGACCGCTCAAGGGAGACATGAAAAGTGGACTTTTAGGCAGGTGGTCTTTATGTACAGGTGGTAGCTAAAGCAGGTTTGACTGTAATAAATTATATTTCTATGGCACTTAATACAAAAAGTCTCCAAGTGGTTTCTTCTGTTTGCACAAAAATCATATTTTCTATTAATAATGCATTAATTTTACTTCTGTCCTCCTTGAAAAAGACCTCAGTAATGTTCTTTTCAACCACAAATAGATATAAAGCACACAACAATTACACATGTACGGTACGCAGCATTGGTATAGTGTCAACTCAAAGTTAATTTGAAACGGTAAGAACCACTAGTGCATAAATCCAAAGATAAATCCTGTACAAATTCTACCGAAGAAGATATTGAGAGAAGACACTGGACAAGGGTATATAGTGAACCAGTGCAAACTACATGAAAGGACTATATGATGTATACACCTTTTGCCAGCATCCACCATGTACATTATGAGTTGTGACACACGACATGTACCGGTAGATCAAAATGAGTGCCCAAGATTAAAGTTCTGTAGTAGCATGTGCATGTTTTTTTTACGAGAACTCACAAAAGAAGATGTGTTTTCACTCAAATAATATTAATGCAGTGAGTGCCACAATTCCTCACATAAAGTGTTTTATCGAAAATGCCATCAGAGAAATGATACTACCAATTATTAAAGAGGAGCCTTTAACACTCTGTAATAAGTACATACACTACTTGTAGAGTATTAAGCACAAGTACTGTCATGACCTTGGGCAGTCGTGGTATTTATAACTAGCTTGATCAGCATGAATGTTGAGGAAAGCATTATAATTTTTTTTTGATGTATTGTATGCATATATGTGTATTTGAAAAGTTGTGACATATGTTACAAAATTGCAATACAAACCAAGCAACCATATAATCTAAATGCAAACGTGCTCATCATGATTGATGCTGTGTTGAATTCATCAGTTCATGTTGATCAAAATGTGTAACTTAAACTGTACAACATTGTGTTTTTTCTCATAATAACAATGGTAACAAGTACACTGAGCATGTAGAGGGGACAAATAGGCACCTTTGTACATTAGCATATATCACATGACCAAGAAAGGTTAATGATACGGAGGCAAGATGATGAGACTGAAGATGCGGCCGTTGCTATACTCTTCATTACAAAGCTATCCAACATTGTGAATGAGCCATAAACTGCCTACAAAAATGTCCTCTACAATAAAAAGAGTTAGTGATTCTATAAATAGATTACAGCTAAATAGTAGACAGTTTATATATATATATCTATGAAATCCTTCTGAAATAGGTGATGAAAAGTAAGATAAGGATAGAAAATAAAGAATTTGATTAACAAAAACATTTATGTATAAATATGTAAATGTAATAACAAAGTTTTACAAGAACAACGTATCATGTTAAAATATTGAATTTAAATGTATGTAAAATTTGTAATAATATCAAGAAATATGTAACACAATAAATATCAGAGAATATTAACTGAAGAACAATTCAAACAAATAACAACAAAAAATATGATAGAAATTAAGTTTTTTTTTTTAAAGAGTAGGCATAGAAAAAATCAACCTCAAAACTATCCCAAATCTCAGAAATTACCCCAACAAAAAATTATGCCACCTCCTCAAAACAACACTTAAATGTAGATGATTAATACTTGGCTTAAATCAAGTGAAGAGGTGTTTATTGATAAACCTGAAATTAAATCATCAATCATTGTCACAACAATTCTGATGTTTTCTGATCAAAGATCATCAATTTCAGCACTAGTTCTGAACTGAAATTGTGAATGACCTTAAATGCAAACAGTTAAGGCTTCTATAAATTGTTGAAAATGTTGAGATGAATTTAGATATTCTCAGGTAAGTTGTTTATGAATTATTTTGACAAATGTGATGGTACGACTCCATAAATTAGTTTTCTTTCGCATAATGCAATAAAAAAAGTTAATTTATTATGATTAGAATCATTAAATCACATGAGGTGGTATACAAACTGTCACTAATTATTAAACAACCCCACTTGTAAAATACTCAAATGCATTAATGTACCTTGGATAACAGCAGACATATGCATATCTACAAATGCTGGTTTAAAAGTTCAAAGAAGTGTAGGTTACTGTACAATCCTGGATAATACCAGATCATAGAAGATGGTTAAAAAAGGTGGTTTATGTTTTTGTCCTTGCATACGATACAGTAAATAATAAACCTGCAATCAGTTATATGTCATATAAACAGGCATAAAATGGTGACATAACATTCCAAAGCTATAAAGAACAAAATAAATCATCTCAAATGAAAAGAAAAGAAATAACCTTGCCATCAAGATCGATTGTGACATCCGAGCATGAAGAATATTACTCATTTCCTTTCAATGCCTTGTGATAAACACATCTTTCAATGTTCCAACGCTGAGAATATATCTTTCAAGAGGATGACGACGAAAACAGGTAAGGTGCTACAGAAGCCATCTGGTAATCATTGCTACTTCCTTCTTTATTGATGAAAAGTTTCAGGTTGACAATGACATAAGCCCTCTACTGCCACAGGCCCACATAGTTCCCAGAAAGACCAGATGGCAATGGACCACCGGCCACAAAGAGCCTGGTCCCAGACTTGTCATACCGGTGGGTGTACACAGCATTAGGATGACTTGACTCACTGAAGAACTGGTGGAAGAGGGAGTCTCGTTGCTGGTGGGTGAAAAAACATTCAAATGTAAATATTAACCATTATGAATAGTGGAAAGATATAGTTGACAGGTGCTTTAGGTGATATATACATTCAAATTTAAATAACAATTATTAATAGTGGAAAGATATAGACAAGTTGACAGGTGCTTTAGGTGATATATACATTCAAATTTAAATAACAATTATGAATAGTGGAAAGATATAAACTAGTTAACCGGTGCTTTAGGTGATATATACATTCAAATTTAAATAACAATTATTAATAGTGGAAAGATATAGACTAGTTGACAGGTGCTTTAGGTGATGTATACATTCAAATTTAAATAACAATTATGAATAGTGGAAAGATATAAACTAGTTAACCGGTGCTTTAGGTGATATATACATTCAAATTTAATAACAATTATTAATAGTGGAAAGATATAGACTAGTTGACAGGTGCTTTAGGTGATATATACATTCAAATTTAAATAACAATTATGAATAGTGGAAAGATATAAACTAGTTGACAGGTGCTTTAGGTGATATATACATTCAAATTTAATAACAATTATTAATACTGGACAGATATAAACTAGTTGACAGGTGCTTTAGGTGATATACATGTATACATTCAAATTTAATAACAATTATTAATAGTGGACAGATATAAACTAGTTGACAGGTGCTTTAGGTGATATATACATTCAAATTTAATAACAATTATTAATAGTGGACAGATATAAACTAGTTGACAGGTGCTTTAGGTGACATTCAAATTTAATAACAATTATTAATAGTGGACAGATATAAACTAGTTGACAGGTGCTTTAGGTGATATATACATTCAAATTTAAATAACAATTATTAATAGTGGAAAGATATAAACTAGTTAACAGGTGCTTTAGGTGATATATACATTCACATTTAAATAGCAATTGTTAATAGTGGAGAGATATAAACTAGTTAAAAAGTGCTTTAGGTAATTAATTGTAACACTAACACTAGATTTTGGGCAATTTAAAAAAAAATCAATTATTTTGATAAGTATTCATTATGAATATAAAATATCATTTCCACATCCGTGAATCAGAGCCATTCACTTATTTATTGTTAGCTATGTTACTAGATTTATCTGGATTCATCCAATCTTAGGAATTCCAACAGGATTCCCTTCAGAGGGTTTTCTTAGGTAAGAATATCAGTACTGGGGCTGAAATTCATGCTTTTAGAAAGTGGGGAGCACAATCCTTGAAAACCATAACATTTCTAAAGGTACACATTATATGATCCATGTTATATCTTCATCAGGCTTAGTAATGATTTTGTTTCCTATGTCATAATATCCATGAATGAAAACAAGTTTTGGATTAGTTTCAACTTAATTTTTCCATTTGGGTTACATTCTAATTTATCAAGCACATAAACATGTATCAGTATAAGAAAATAACTCACCAGATACCCTTTTCCAGTGTATAACTTCACAGGCACTGTTTTCCCATCAATGTCACTCTCGATGAAATGACCAGCTCTCAGGTCAAAGAACATGAGAGCCCCTTGACCTGTACCGACCGTCAGGACCCCGTCCATGAAGCTTACTGACCGTACACCTAGATTAGGTATTCATAAACAGAACAGAAAATAGGTGAACATGACCTTTATTTCACGGGAAATAAATTACAATGACCATGTACAGAGATAAAAGTAATGAAATCTAACTTTTTACATTTTCTTTAAATTGAACAACACCTCTTCCAATATGGCACCATCTAAAATAAATTGGTTATAAATGGACTTTTCTTCCCACGAGTGCAATATATAACGTCAGACTGTCTAGATTTTACTTTTACATCACCATATAATCTCCACATCAAAAACTCTATACTCTTTTGGCCTGTAATTAATTTGTCTGTTCTCATGTTATTGTGATACAAAGACTCCATAGAAATATGAACAAATAGCTGGTAACCAAGTTAGTCACTTTCAAAGGTATTGAGGCAAACTCTACCATGATGATTAAAGATAAACTTGAGTTCTGGTAAAAAAAAGAAAATGAATTCTCACAGAATCTAACGAAACTTACACTGAATGTTCAAGATTACAAATAAATGTCATGTGCCAAACAATTTTGGAAGAAAATGTATACTGACTGAGTAATGAGCATAGAAAGATAAGGAAATCAGGGTAGTACTAGCCCCGACATCATGTGTGTTGTCCCATATACATCTATCTGTGTAAGTGATTGTTACTTTACCAAGACTCTGCCAAATTTATGATGATTTTGATGACTCTAGAACCTTGCATTACACACCATTACTTACATGCTATATGATCAACTTTTCTGATCCATTCCACACCTTTTCTTTCACAATGCAATAGCATTACCAGTACTCAAGTTTATCTTTAAGAATTGAGATAGTGATACTACTATGACTGAGTGGATAGACATCCCATATTGATGAGATGTGGATTAACTCAACACATTGAGCAAAACAGGTTCTGGGGGGGGGGGGGGGGGGGTGTTTCATAAAGCTGTGCATCAAGTTATAAATGACTTTACAAATGATTTGAATTTGAAGAGCCAAATGGGATGCCCAAAGTTTTTCCTGACATTTTAACAAAGTGTTACTGTATTTCCCATAATCTCAATTAAATTGTAGCCAAAATACACTTTGCATTAAAATGTTTTGTTAATAATGATATTATGATAAGGTTAATCTACATCTGCATATTTCAACTTTAGCTTTATGCAATTCAAAGGATTTGTGAATCCCATTTAGCTCTTCATATTCAAGTCATTTGTAAAGTCATGCATAACTTTATGCACAGCTTTATGAAACACCCCCCCCCCCCCCCCCCCCCCGATTTGGTACATACCACTGCCCCTCTCCTTTGAATGCACAGATGCCACACATCTACCATTCCTAGAGTCCAGGAAAGTTACGTGAGACTGGGAGCCGACTGCATAAAGAGAGTGGTCTTCTGACAACGAGATACACACATTCTCCTCGCAGTATGGCAAGCGTCTGGAATGCAGCTTACGGAATCCTCTCAAGTCCCAAAGGTGAATAAAACCATTGGCCGACAATGAAGCTAATTCCTGGACAATAAATGAGAATAAAACAGAACAAAATGTAATCTCCATTTTTTCCCTGAAAAAAAAGTTTCAGTTATCACATTATGGAATTCAAACATTTTTACCCCCAATGACTGAAAAACTGCACTTCAATTATTTTAAATTTAAATTTGAAGAAACCAATGTGTATGTATGGACATCAAACAAAAGAATTCATAGGAGAAGTTGAAAATAGCTGCAAATTCACTCAAATCCATATTAATGTGTTAAAGGGAGTGTAGCCTAACGAGACTACGTGTTTTTTTTCCGTGGCCTGACTCGGGGGCCGATTGGGTATTATACGACTTCGGATGACACGACCGCAGCAATCACGTGCGTGCAACATACACAAAACCGAAGCGGGAGGAGAACTTCGGTCTGTTTCGCGGACGCTGACCATGTAAAGATTAAGTTGCTGGCTACCTATCAAGTCCATTCGTTTACTTGCAGTTGTCCAAAAGAAGACGTAAATGGCGTTAACCAGTATTTGCCAAGCTACACTCCCTTTAACTACTGTTTAGCACGCTACAATGCATTACGTGAGAGGATTTAACAAATGGAGAATCTGGCATTGGCAGAAAGGAGAGAAAGTAGAGGACTTGAAACAGAAAAAGAGTACTGTTGGAGGACAGTTTGCAGAGATGGCCCGAGTAGAGCTCTAGGAGTGAAAGACCAGGGAAGGGAATTCTTTGCAAAGGCTAGAAACAGGGAGTTGTGGGATAGCATGATCGCAAAAGTCAATAGATATGGCACCTAGAGCGAGAGAGGGAGAGAGAGAGAGGGAGGGAGGGAGAGAGAGAGAGAGAGAGAGAGAGAGATATAAAGAGAGAGAGATTCTCTTTTAAAGCTTATCTGTACTAGTTTATAGGAAGGATTAGACCACCCTGCAAGGTCACTGGACACGCAGTTATCTCATCAACTCAGCTCTTAATTAATATAAGAAAAAGAGCATCATGGGGGACCAATGGTCACCGATTAGGCATTATTTTCTATATAGAGGGAGCAAGTCGCTACAAGTAGAACAGTGTGGCTTTAAGTGCAGCAGTATTAAAGGAATTCATATTCTCACCTTCGTGTGCTGGCTGTACTCCAAGGCTCGTACTTTTTCACTTTTCTCGCTTGAGCGTAGCAAGACTGGGAAGATGGATTCATAAGATGGCACTAGGGTTGTTTCGTTGATGTCTTGTACCCGGTCACACAGGTCTTGGCTGACGGACCAGACAGAAATCTGAGAATCTCTTGAACCTGGTTATTGACAATTTAAGGGCGAGAGATATGGAAAGTTGTTGTAAGTCTCTGATTTGGCCTTTGGGATGATTAAGGTTAATGTATTATTTCACCTTCAGACTTTACTGGCTGTGGAACACTGCTCTTAACTACTTTTCAAGAACACTTTCAAAAGTCCTTTGAACATTAATTGATTGAAGAAAAAAGAAGAACCTGAAAGTGAATTTTAGTGGCTAATTCGTGGCAAGACATCATTGTTGAAAAATGTCACCTTTCATGACATGTATTTCTACATTCAGCTGTAATCATAAAACATTCGAGAATTCTGTTGGAAAAATATGACTGGTGAAGTACTCATGACTTACTCTCCTTCTCACAATGTACAATGTACATTAAAATAAAACCCATGCAAGCTGGTTCCAACGAATGTAACTTAGTCCAAATCACTCCATTTTATACCCACATTGCATAATTTATGCGCTTAAGGTCCGAAAAGCTGCACAGAAATTAACAAAAGTACACAATTCACGAACCTGCAACTAAGTATTGATCATCTAACCACACTACTGAGAACATCCAGTCGGTATGGCAATTCTGAAGAAAAGAGGTAACATAATAATAGTCAACTAGTTTGTTTAAATTCATGAAGCAGAAGTGGAGGGGTGTAAATGTTAAGATGAAAAGTTGAAAATAATTTCACAAGAATTTAGTTTAAATGTTATCCACGCAAGCTCCATCAGTGATCATCCAAATTACACAGATTGCAACTACACTTCAGCACATACATTATCAGAATATGTTCATCAAATTTAATGAAAGGAATGCAACAGTCTACCAATCTTTTGGTAGTCGAAACTAACTTGATAAATTATTGGCACATGAAGGCCTCATACAGTAGCATACCGAGACATGTTGTGTGTCCAGGTTGTGTATTTGGACAGTTAATTTTAAATAGCAATTTGAAGAAATTTACAAGAAATATTTCACAGATCTTCAAAGTCTTATAAATGTTGGACAATATTATATGCCAAGGACAAATATTCAAGATGGTAGGTGATAAAACATGAATAGTTTCTGTTCAATATGAAGGATAAGGAGAAGTCTTAATGTTTTTTAAGTGTCCAGACACCCACACCACCCCCCCCCCCCCCCCACATCATATCCCTTCCCTGCATTCAAGAAAGGATATCATTGATCAGGAGGCTGGCCTGTCATTGAATCAAATAACTTGTTCTTTAATATCTTTATCATTTTGTTTTTTCCTAGTGAAGGTCATAAATGACTTGATGGGCAATCATGGTAATGCTTCAAAAGTCAAGAAAAATACAAGCTTGATTTTCATACTCTGTGTAAACAATCTCTTGATGTGCATGTACAGGTACAGGTAAGCCATGAATATTTCTCAACTTACTTGTCCGACGCAAACAGGATCAAACGTGGGTAACCGGTAGATGCCAATGTTATTTGGGTTGTCCGCACCTGTTGCTAGCAGGGTATTACTTGGATTGATAGCTATGCTGTGGATGCCACTGTTGTTTACCGGAATGTCTCTGGTTTTCTGCTCGGTAGACTACGCAGCATTGGAAGACTACGCAGCATCGGAATGGAGACTTGGTGATTGAGATCCAGGTCTAAGGCTATCAACTGAAGGTGAAGGATTTTCAAAAATAGAAAATGACATGGTCAGAGGCTGATGTAAAATGGTACATCAAAGGTTGAAGGAGGAATTGGAAGAGAGAGAAGGGTTGGAGAAAAAGAGGGAGGGAGGGAGTGGGAGAGAGAGAGAGAGAGGGGTTGGAGTGGGGGAGAGAGAGGGAGTGGGGAGAGAGAGAGAGGGGTGGGGGAGAGAGGGAGTGGGGGAGAGGGAGGGAGTGGGGGAGAGGGAGGAAGTGGGGGGGAGGGAGGAAGTGGGGGGGGGGGGGGAGGGGGGGGGAGAGGGAGGAAGTGGGGGGGAGAGGGAGGAAGTGGGGGAGGGGGAGGGGGAGGGGGAGGGGGGAGGGGGAGGGGGACAGCAATGAGACAGACAGACTGGAAGATAAGAAACAAAGAAATCTGGCAACCAATTTGGGGAATTACAACAACTATGCATGGACCTCTATTCTTGACATTTAAATCAAGCTGGAAAACATGGTAACATGAGGTGTAGAGCATCATTCAACTTATTTCAAGTTTGAGCTGGTTTTTAATGGCAAACAATCACTATCACTGATTTATTAATCCACTAGTATAAAGATTAAGGACTCCAAGCAGTAATAACATTACAGGGAAACTGGAGGGTGTTACTCACTCTATTGCACTTGGTTCCAAGGACAACTTGGTGATCTGAAATCCATTCTGAAGCAAATATCTTATTAATTTCTCCAACGTGTACCTCTCTCTCCGAGAGCACATGGGGAAGTCTACGGGTGGTCAGGTTACAGATAACCTTCTTCCGCTGCTTAGCGTGTCCTATTGTTCTGCTTCGTATATGATGGAACACAGAGGCGCTTTCAGGGTCACCTGCCCCCATCCACTCTCCACGATGTCTTTCCGTGAGAGCTGTTGCAGCAGCTTTCCTCGACGCATGGATTGCATCCTCATTTGAATGCATCTCGCTGAGCTTGTGTTTCTTTTTTCCTGGTTACAATAAGGCCTTCAATGTTCACTAGTACTGGTCAGTTCAGGGTGATGTACCATATATCTTTAATCATGGCGGCATGTCACTACTATGATGGCATTTTTGTAGTAGTCTGTTCCGATGTTTAGAAAAAAGATCTGTAGGAAGAGAAGGTATGAAATTATATTACCTATATTCTACCGTGTGAATCCATCAAGCTTTAACTTGTCATTATCCGAGGTCCTGCTAGTCTTCACATCTGTTTGTCTCCCAAGAATGTAGAGCCTGCTTATTATTTGCCAAATATTAATTTGTATAATACCCCATTTTATTTTGTATGTTAACCAGTCACAGGACTATCTGAATGAGAGGCTTTGTCAATATGGGATTCCAATGCCCAACAGTTGAAAAAGGTAATAAAACTTTACTACAGTTTGTAGATGAAATTGCACCTCATGAGGGCTTGGGGTCATTTCACGAAACCTTCATAAGTACAAGATCAACAACATCTCGGCGCTGTCACTCGGCTTGTCCGCTAAGTGTTTCACGAAATTTAACTTACAAGAGAATGCCATCTCAAGGCAATTGTAAGTAGGTCTACATGTATGGGCAGCGAAACAATTGAAAACTGAAATTAATCATCTGATTTAGACCCTATTCTCAAGATCCGCGCCTAGATCATGTAGCTAGCTAGCTTGACGTACGTATCTTCGCACCGTACCATATGCAGCTAACTCGCAGACGTTTTTTTTCATCGGCGCTCTGCAGATTTCGGGATGGTCTACCGAACCGCCCGCTGGCGATGCTAAAAATGGATTCCGCGTAAGAAAATAACCCTAGTTCACCGTCTTCCCGAAGATTTATCGCTCATATTATGTCTCTTTACACAGTCAATGTAAAATGCATCAAGAAAATCATTGCAGAATCTGTTTTTTCTCATCGCCAACATGCCGATAAAAAATATGAAACTTCTGTGAAAATGCGGACGATCCTTATTTTTGAGGATGCATCGGTACGCGCTAATGAAGACAATATGAAGGGGTGGCCAAAGCTCGCAGATATTTTTCTTTTCTTGCACATTACAAAACATCCAGATCAACATATATCGTGTTCCATACGTCATAAGAATCATAATTTAATCAGATTATATAACATTCCAAGGCTGTATTTACTTCAAACCAATGATAAGACAAGAATATCGGAAGTCTTACCACAGCACTATCGACGTCTTTCAAAAAGTTCGCGCATGATATTGACTGCCCTCTTGTGATGGGATATATACATGTAAACATTCCAAAAAGGGACATAGTTTCAATCAGAAGCCGAACTTTATATTGAAACTTTGAAAAAGACAATAATTTCTCTCTATCATTGAAATTTTGCCAGAAAAAAACACCCTTGTTAAATTTTGCAAATAAAAGACACATTTTTTCATTGTTTATGTGTTAATGAGAATGTAGTCCCTATCTGCATGTCATCTGTTTGTTAAAAAAGTTTATCGTGTGTCTCCTTTTTATATGTCAGCCATACACGAGTTCTCGCTCTTTTCTCTCTTTGTCTTTCCACTTTCCCCTTTTAAATTTGTATTCTTACGAAACCCATAGATTCACTGAAATTCACAAACACAGATAGGTCTACGATGGAAGCAGGCACGCAGGTTCCGTTTTTTTTGGTGTAAGAAATTGGAATCTTATCATTATTTTAAATCCCTCTAATAAACTGATTATCATATACAAAAACACAATATACATTTTGTTATGATAAAAAGCGTGAAAAAAGCTAGCTTATTCACATTTTTATGTCGCATTTTGACCTTTAGAGTTGTCGACAGTGCTCAAAGATTTCGTTGTCTCAGTCCCACACAGGCATCGCGTATCGTTCTCCTGTTATAAGCGCTTTTAGTGTTACTGTTAGTATGCATATATATGTATATTGTTGTCTCCAGCAGGAGTGGATACAGCACCAGAGCAGCTGATAAGCTTGTCACTCTAGTGGAAGAATTGGGACTTACTCAGCATGTCACCCAACCTACAAGAATTCAGGGAAACACAGAAAACATCTTGGACTTGATCTTCTCCAATAACCCTGAAATAGTGGACAAGATATCCGTTACAGATGGCATTGCTGACCACAGCTCAGTGATAGTGGACTTAAGAGTAGCTCCTACTAGGAAGCGTCCGATAAGAAGGAAAATCTACCTCAGGGGTAAAGCAGATACTCAGGGTATCAAGGAGACACTTCAAGACTTTTCAGATACTTATTTCCAAACGAACCAAGACAAAAGTGTAGAGGACAAATGGTAACAAATTAGAAGTGCAATACTACACACAATGGAAAAACATGTCCCGCACAAGTTTTCCACTAGCCGATTTAACTTACCATGGTTCAATAGATCACTACGTCGTACGATTAAGAAGAAACAGAGATTATACAACAAGGCAGTTAGGACAGGAAAGCCGGATGACTGGGAATCGTTCAAGGCCTTTAGGAAAAGCACCCACAAGCTCATTAAAGAAGCCCGTTCTTTATATGTTAGGGACACTCTTGAATCGGCAATTCTAGAAGAGCCAAAAAGGTTTTGGTCTTACATTAAGCAACTGAAACAAGAAAACTCGGGAGTAGCAGATCTCCAGCAAGGGGAGAAGACTGTAAGCAACGACACAGACAAGGCAAACGTTTTGAATGAACAATTCCGGAGCGTCTTCACCAACGAGCCTCCTGGATTAGCACAGTCCCTTGGCAACAGCCCTTACCAGAAGATTGGACATCTCAACATTACTAGGAAAGGGGTCGAAAAGCTGCTCAGCACGCTGAAGACCAACAAAGCACAAGGGCCGGACGGCATTCCACCGTGGTTCCTGAAGATCGGAGCTGAGCAGCTATCTGCACCTTTGCAAGACCTGTTCCAATCTTCCATCAACACTGGAATAGTACCGCAAGAATGGAGAGACGCCAACGTAGCCGCCATCTTCAAGAAGGGGAGCAGGAAGAGTGCTGCAAACTACAGACCTGTCTCGTTGACATCAGTATTGAGTAAAGTCATGGAACACATCATACATAGCCACGTAATGAAACACCTAGAAAATCAACATATCCTATCAGACTTCCAACATGGGTTTCGTGCTAAAAGATCTACTGAAACGCAGCTAATTCTCACAATCAATGATATAGCCAAGAACTGGATAGAAATAAGTTAGTCGACATGGCAGTGCTTGATTTTACAAAAGCTTTCGACAAGGTCCCTCATCGTCGCCTAATCTCTAAACTACAATATTATGGTCTTGAGGGAGAAATCACTTCTTGGGTGAGAAGTTTTCTGATGGGCCGCACACAACGAGTTGTCATCAATGGTCATTCATCTCTACCTGCATCTGTTACATCTGGCGTACCGCAGGGTACAGTGACCGGCCCACTATGGTTCTTGTTGTACATTAACGATCTACCAAACAACATGGCCTGCACAACCAGATTGTTCGCAGACGACTGTTTGCTGTATACAGCCGTATCAGCTGATCAAGATACCAGCGTACTGCAGAAAGATCTTAGACAACTGGAAAGCTGGCAAGACACATGGCTGATGAACTTCAACCCAACCAAGTGCTGTACCATGACCATTGGTAAGAGAAACCCCCCTCATCACAAGTATAACTTTTGTAACCATAGTCTCGAGAGTGTGTCTTCTCATCCATACCTGGGTGTTCACATATCGAATACATTGAGCTGGAATACTCATACTCAGGCAGCTACCAAGAAAGCCCAGAGAATACAGAATGTAGTCCGCAGGAACTTGTGGAGTTGCAACAAGAAGGTGAAATCAACTGCGTACCTGGCGTTAGTAAGACCGCTTCTCGAGTATGCATCGTCAGCTTGGGATCCCTCTACCAAGCAGAATATCAAGTCCCTAGAACGTGTCCAACGACAAGCAGCCAGATTCTGTACTAGCAACTACATTAGAGAAGAAGGCACAGTCACCAAGGCGCTAAACGACCTAGGATGGGAATCGCTTCAAACTAGAAGGAGAAACCAGAGACTCAGCATGTTATACAAAATGAAGAATGGACTGGTCGACATTCCTTTGTATGACTATGTACAACTGAATTACTGAATCCCAGAGAAACCAGGGGGAACAACCAGAAGTTCCTACAACTTCACCACAAAGCTAGAGCCTACCAGGACTCCTTTTTTGTGTCAACCATCAAGGACTGGAATAACCTCCCAACCTCCATAGTAAACAGCCCATCATTAATCACTTTTAAGAACAATTTACTTAAACATTCCCAATAATTTGATTAGAGTCAACCCACACACAGCGTGCTCTGTCTACAAATACGTTAGCGTGGATGTGTCTGGAAAGGACATTTTGCTGACCAAATCATACAGATACAGATACTGCAAACTTTGGTCACACGCGAACTGTCACAACTCACACTCACAGTCACAGTCACACCACCATAGATTCTACGTTTATGCAGATGATCCTTATTCTCGGACTTTCTGAAATAGAAAAGGGGGAATAGTCTACTCCTAATGCCAAACTTCCAAAGGCTTGCAAAGCTTAACTTAAGCCTAAGGCTTCTACCAAGCTCAGGATTTTTTTTCCTCTTTTTTTTTTGATGACGTAATTAGCTAGCTGAGTGGAAACCCCCGCCTGCCCTAACCCTGGCTTGGCTTTTGCCAACAGATGTGTGATTAATCAAAACTATCACTGCACTACACAAATCAACACATCATGATCAAGAAAATTACTGTAAAGAAACAAAAATCCTAATTCTTCATCACATATTGACCGTTCATAACTCCACAAACTTACCTCTTGAATTAAAATCAAACCGGCAAAAACGAAATTCACAAGGCTTGTTTACGTTGACTGATGTCGTGAAATAAGCGCTCAGCCCAAACGATCGAAAAAGATATCTAATTATGAACGTAGAGGACGCCCCGCAGCTAGCTTTGAAAGTTTAGTGCATGTCCCATATGTTGCACTTTTTGTAGTGATTTTTCTTTCTACATTGTCCGACCCATCATGAATATAATTATATCCAAGCAAGGGAGAATACAAGCACCAATAAAATACATCAAAGTCGAAATGTCTTCATCATATATCTAACGTTTGAATTTAATTCTATGGTCAGAAGTCAGAACCTCCTCTTGATCCTGCTTCGTGATGTGAGTGTGACTGCAAGTTTTACTTTCACTTTTTAGTCTCAGACGTCGATCAGACTAGACTCTAACGTTAGAGTCTACTCTTCTTAGTTTAGTGTGAGAAGTAGTTTGAGTTTGACTATATTCTATAATAATAATAATAATTAGATAATATAAGATATTTATTCGTCTTTCTTTCAAATGACATATAGAGCATAACATTACACATTACACATTTACAATAGACCTATCTATAATATATGGCAATGATGAAAACAAAGTGAACTAAAACGAAAGACGAGGAGACCCTGGTAAAAGCAGAGCTTGTAAGTTTTAGGGTCCCCTCTGCATGAGCCAGATAAACATGATGAGTAGATACTTGTGACTACCTAAGAATACAATAGGGAAAAGGGGTATAAAAAACGAGAAGTATACACACACAACAACAACAAAACGAGAGACTAGACAAGACGGTAGAAAAGAGAAAATATGAGAAATAATAGAAGACTACAGCACATCGACAATAGGCACAATTAATACAACAAGGGGAGGGAATAAGAGGTTGACAATCTGAAAATATTCAGTTAGACACATATTAATATCAAGAAGAAAATTTACATTTATAGTAATACATAATAGATCTTGGCATCATAATAACTACTCTATGAGTCACAGCTAGTATTTGTCGAGAAGATAAACCTCAAGTGTACACTTAAATGAAGAGAGACTAACAGATTGCTTAACGCTAGAGCCTATAGAGAGTTCCAAAACCTAGGTCTAGTAAAAACCAATGTATTAATTTGATACAGTGTTTACTCAAAGTTTGTAAACCTGTTTAAATCTTGACCTGGGCCTTAACAGTTAATTGGGCTGATTTTTGTTGGTGTTTGTTTTGATATGATTCTTCTTTGTTATTTGTTCTTTTGTATTTGTTTATATAGAGTCTAGAAGTGTACTTTAAATTATTAAAGTATAGACATAGTGTATAACTCTAATAAAATCTTGTTATACTAGCTGTCTGTCCTTGGTGCTTCTATAATCTAGGATAGCAGGATTCAGAATATATTCCAGAGATTTAGTCAAAATCAAATTCATGTTCCTAGTTGATTAATTAATTCTCACAAACTTTCACTAGACTACTTAATCGTCCCTTGATTTTATATTTAGGATATACCATATATTCTGCAGATTCCTTGATGACCTAGTTTGAATTTTAAGATGTAAATTTATACACTTTACATTATATTGCATTTTCAGATCAGATCATAATTCATGTTGCACATGGGTAAACTGTGAGGTATTTAAAACAATGATTTAACAGAATATACACATATTTCTCTCAGTAAAATTCTGGTACAGTTAACATGAAATTTTTATATTGTGTTTGTTTTTCTTTCAGAACGTATTTATTTGGATCAGAAAAAGCCCAGTTGAGATGACACAATGAAAGGTTCGTCAGTGAAAAAGCCTGTCATTCTAGATGTGGGAAATTTGTTCACCAAAGTTGGATTTTGTGAGTTGGAGAAAACTTCACCAGACCACATATTTCATTCCAAGGAAGCAGAGAAGATCCCTGACAGGGTGGTTGATCATTCACCTTCTCCATTGATATCAGACAGGACTGTCACTGACTGGGATAGCTTTGAGCAAATTATCCAGCATGCCATATGGACTAAGAGCAAGATCAAAAGCTCCGATCATCCTCTGGTACTCATCGAAAAACCAGGTCTTGAACGTAGCTGCCGTCAGAAGATGGTGGAGTTGGCATTTGAAGGGTTAGATGTGCCGGAATTCTACCTAGCAAGTGAACCTGTAATGGCACTATATTCTGTTGGTTTGTCATCTGGGATCGTGTTGTCTTCAAGTTACATCTCATCAAACGTTTCCACAATACATGATGGACACAGGCCCCATATGGCCTTGTTCATCTAGGTTTTGGAGGAAGGGATGTAACTCATTATGCAATGGACGTTATTAAAGACGAGTTGGGCAAAGAGGTGAGTGTTGAGGAGGCTGAGCAATTGAAGTGCTATCATGGGCACTTTCATGCCAAGGATAGAACTTGCAATCCTGGGCCTGAAAAACTTGAAGAGATTGGACAAAAGATTGCAGAATATGTCTTAAACCCCAAAGGTGATTGTATGGGTAAGTATTCTACAGCAAAGCTTGATGCAATAGAAGTCTGAGGAGAATAGCCCTTCCAAATTATTTGAAAATGAGAAGAGCCTCCTGTTTTTTACACAGGTTTGTATAAAGTAAACTGTAAAGCTCTACATATGACTTTAAAAAGTGACATAAGGTATGAACGAGTAAAATTTCATATTATTTTCATAATCCTTTTAAACTGTTTAGAATTTTACCTTTTTAAGTACTCTATTACTCTATTACACTTCTTTCTTGAGTTTTCATTTTTCCTTTGACTTCTTTAATGTAATGTAACATGACAAACAGAAGAAAAGAGAAAGAGAAAAGTAGCTACATCATGTACATCAGGCGCGGATCCAGGATTTCTTAGGGGAGGGGGCCCAACTTTTTTTTTTTTTTGCTCCCGAAAATTTGAAAATCGCGCCGGCCAAAAAGTCGCTCAGTGGGGGGGGGGGGGGGGGGGGGGGGGGGGGGGGGGGGGTACAGAGCACAATTTTTTTTTTTTTTTTTTTTTTTTTTTTTTTTGCTCCCGAAATTTGAAAATCGCGCCGGCCGAAAAGTCGCTCAGTGGGGGGGGGGGGGGGGGGGGGGGGGGGGGGGGGGGGGGGGGGTACAGAGCACAATTTTTTTTTTTTTTTTTTTTTTTTTTTTTTTTTGCTCCCGAAAATTTGAAAAACGCGCCGGCCAAAAATTCGCTCAGTGGGGGGGGGGGGGGGTAGTGAGCACATTTTTTTTTTTTGATCCTCAAAAAATTTCAATTTGCACCCCCCCTTGAGCGCCAGGGGGGGGGGGCCCAACCCCAAAAATCGTAAAAATCACGTGATTTTACATGATTTTTTCTCAAGGGGGGGGGCCCGGGCCCCCCGGGCCCCCCCCCTGGATCCGCCACTGATGTACATCATAGATATTGCTTCAAATATTCCACTTTCACAAAACAATCTCTGAGTGTGTGTGATTCTCTTCATTGTATCAACAGGTTTCCACAAGGCGATCCCTCGTAGCATATACCTGACTGATGAAGAAGACGACTATGAACATGTTTATTTTCGTAATATAATGCTCTGCGGCGGCAACAGTCTTTTCCCTGGAATCAAGGAGAAGCTGGAAATGGAAGTAAAGACACCATATTATCTCACATGTGGGGTAAGAACTAAGAAGTATAGACCTATATATGTTTTAAAGTATAATTTCAAATATTTTGAAATTGAAATTGAATTCCTCCAGTCAAAACTTCAAACCAGTGGTCTAAAATCAAGTGAATGTATACCATACCCACAATGGCCACAAAGCCATGTAGGCTTCTCTAACTTTCTCTTTTTCAGGTACTTATAACATGTTATCTTTGTACATTTTGTTTAGGGTAAATGAGAAATAAATGGAATGAAAGAAATAAAATCACTTCACGGTAAACCATTTGAGATTCAATATCATGAGTTGGAAACTGAAATATAAGGAAAGTTAATTCTAACCAGTACACCATTTCTGTTGCAATTAAAGAGAAATATTTTTGACATGATTATACATATGGCTATAGCTTGCATTTGTAGTAGAATATAAATTGTTTAACGCAAGGTAAGTTTGGTGAGATGCCACAAGGTCCAGAAGGCTCATCTGCCCCATTCAAGTAATCGTGGACTTGATATCATGGACCTGAATGCTAAGAGACTGCAATATGTGATTGAATTCAGTCTAAGTCTCAATGGCCACAATACTTGTGTTGTCAAACTTAAAGTAAAGGGACAGATGATCAGGGATTGTTTAATGACACATGTGCATGTATTTTTATTTGAGATAACCTTATCAAATATCAATTATACTTTCTTTCAAGTGTAGAAACATTTAAATAAATAAATATTTTCATTACATTTCATATGTCACAATCTAAAATATATATTGAGAAATATGCAACTATAGTTATAAAAACAGTTGACTGGCATTTTTTCAGAAACTAGTTGAATGATTTCAAGAAGAAAAAGAAATCTCTGAAATTTTCTGATGTTTATGGTAATGCTATGACACTAGATTGTAACTGTTCCTTGCTAGACTATATCTGAATGTGTGTGTGTGTGAATCATAATTCTTAGACCCCTTGATTCATGTTGCGTATACATGTTACAATTATCATTATTTTTTATATTTTTTCTATTAAATATTTTTCATTTTGTAGGTACGTGTGATAGCGCCATCATTCCGACAGCATGCAGCATGGGTAGGAGGCTCAATCGCTGCATCTCTTCCAACTTTCAAATCATTCTGGATAACCAAAGAGGATTATAGCGACTATGGGGAAAACATTTTGCAGAGAAAATGTTTACCATACTAATTACATGAGACATCTTATTTATAAGGGTCTTCAATTCTTTTATTTTTATTATTATTATTTTTTTTGGGGGGGGGGGGTTGAGGTGCATTTCAAAAAATAATAACTCCACAGATACATCTCTGATCAAGCTGAACAGTGTAAAATGTTGGAGAATGTATTTTGTTAAAAGAAAGTTTTATGAAATCCTTGTAACATGATGAATAAACAGTACTATTAATTTTCAATTCAATCTTTTATTTTGGTCACATTAAGGCCAAGTAGTGCAGTCCCGCTTTAAGAAAATGAGATGAAGACAAATTGAGAAGTGAAGATATAAACAGACATTCTATTTGTCGCCCTCTCTCGGCGGCTAGGCAGGCTCGCTACTCTATATACAGATATATTGACTGGCAGGGCCGGGTGTGTAATAATATACAAATAATGACTGCCAGGACGATGACTGCTCATGAGGATGATGCATGGTGGAAATTATCACTCCCAAGGTGGTGTGTTCATTTATCACCCCTGAGGCGAAAATTTCACTCTCAAGGTGAAAGAAATCCAACATAATTTATATGGAAATCCAATCAGGTACTGTGACGGCTCAATGTCGCTACGGGTATTCAAAAGGACTGCTATTCATAAGGACCGCTATTCATAATGTGAGAAGAGGGTCGGTATTCATAATGTGAGAAGAGGATCGGTATTCATATTATGAGAAGATATATAGATAGATGAGAAGATATAATATATAGAGACATCCCCATAATCTATAGCCCCTCCCCCTCCCACTGGATCCGCCCGTGGTTTCGCCAAAAAAGGAAACATTTTTATTTCTTTTTTGTTTCCGAAAAATTTAAAAATCGCCGGCCTATAATTCGCTCATTTTTTTTTTTTTTTTTTTTTGGGGGGGGGGGGGGGTAGTGAGCACTCCCCCCCCCCCCCCCCCCTCCTGGATCCGCCACTGGCTCCAGTGGTAAAAAAAGGAAAACATAACACACACATAATCCTATCATAATTTGTCCCCCTCGTGGGAAATCCCCCCCACCTCAACTGAGAGTCAAACTTGAAATTTACTTTGGTGACAAGACGATATATTTTACAAGGAAACCATCATAGCCCCCATCCCCGAAAATAGATATAAATGTCGGAAATATGAATGTCCAAGTCGTCATCATATAGGCGGCGGGGGGGGGGGGGGGGGGCTGGGGATATTTCATGTTCCAAAATTAAATTGTATTGATTCAATTCTCAATTTCGTGTATCACAATGGATAACAAATTTCAAAATTACAGTGTAACATATAGATAGCCTGATTGAGTGTAAGTGCAAGGATTACAATAACCAGGAATGACAACAAAAAATAATCCACTATACTGCATATCCCTTCTGGAATATAATACAGGGATAAGAATAAGTTATTTTAGTGGTAATACTTTTTACAATCTGTTTCCTTGTTTTCTCTTTTATTTTCAACTAAAAAGGAAAAAGGAAAAAGTAAAGATATACACCATTATATGCTTTATGATTACCAACATCTCCTACGTGATGACCCCCCCCCCCCCCCCCCCCCCCCCCCCCCCAAAGACCCTATTTCAAACTCGTGGGAGACAGTGGGCTTTGGACGATATATAATGCTTTTTACAATACTAAATTCTATCAAGATTAATAATATGGTTAAACAAAAACGAACGATATATTCCTGTTTTCAATGTGTATGATGAATTGACAGGTGGTATGTATATTATGATGTGTTTTATCTGTAATTATCTATCTTGTTTCATGACAACTCACGCCAGCCTTACTCTTGTTTTGTTTTGTTCCCTATATTGTATTTTCATTTTTAATTTGGTTTGGCTATTTAAAGTAATTGATTCTTTATATTTCGTGTGTGAACCTTTATACATGGACTTGAATAAATATTACATGAACTTTATGTGTTTGCTTTGAACTTATCATGTCTCGAATTAATTGATGTTTAACTTTTTCTGAACCTGCATCCATGTATATGTTAAAATTCTGTTTTTCCTGTGTTTGTAACTTTGTTCTGTATTTATCATAAGATATCCCACTCCCAAATTAAGCAAAAACAACAATTTCTCATGACATCTTTTACGTTTTTTTTGTTGCACTATACAGTGTGAGTCAACAAAAAGTTTACACCTAGAAAATTGCTAATTATTCAAAAAATCATCGATGAACATTAAACTGTTATAATTTTATGAAAGAGTGTTTTATCTCAAATCATTTGGTACCATTTTTGTGTGGTATGTGTTCACGCTTGGATGAACAGGAGACATTTTTGCGAGAGTGCAAAAATCGACTTGCGCCAAAGTTGCCTATGTGATGTTTGAATAAAACAATTGGGATTTGGGTAGTAATTCGGTCTTTGCAGATCCAAATAACACCCCTAACAAAATTAATCATGCTACACATATCAAATATCGAATATAAAATATCAACGAACATTTGTATGCGCGTGTGTGGGGTGTGTGTGACCAGGCCTGTGTGTGACTTTGCCCTTTGCAAAAACATATGCAATGCATTTCATTTGATACATTCAATCCATTCTCTCACTCCGCTTATCCCAACATAATACATACTGTAGCCATCACTTTGGCGCAAGTCAATTTTGGCACTCTCGCAAACAATGCCACCTGTTCATCCAAGCGTGAACACATACCACACACAAATTATACCAAATGATTTGGGATAAAACACTCTTTCATAAGATGTATAATAATTTACTGTTCATAGATGGTTTTAAAAATAATTAGCAATTGTTTAACTTCAAACTTTTTTTTGACTCACACGGTATAGACCTTCTTACCCATCACCACCACCAATACCCCCTAAAAAAAGACAATTAATGTTTGGTTCATATTCGGATTTCATTACCTCTTTGTATAAGATACATGACGCGAAAACCTTCATGGTCCGAAAGTGTTCAAGCACTCTATCCAGGGGCGTCGCTGAAGGGGTGGAGGGTAGGACACCCCTCACCTGTATGGATAGTGTCGGTAAAATTGCGGTGCTGTCGGGAAAAATGAGAAAAGGGGGGATGAGAGGGAAAGGGAGAGAGAAGAGAAGACAGAGAGAGAAAAACGAAAAAGGGGAAGGAGAGGAAAGAAATGAAAAGTAAGAAAAGAAAGAAAAGGAAACAAAGAGAAAGAGCTAGGAAACAAAAGAAACAAGGAGATGAAAGAGAGGAGAGAGAGAGAGGGGGGTGCTAAGAGTCTTAAGAGAAGAGAGGGGGGGGGTGTTGGGTGGAGTCGCCACGTCGAGGGAGCAAGAAAGATACGAATAGATAATTATGTTGCTGTGTCGGTATTCTTGCTCGATCATCGTGTACTATATTAATGCAGAAGTTTGAAGTCGTTGAGATGTAGTGTGTCGGTCGACCGGCAGTTTTTTCCGTTACAAACTGACTTTAATTTATCGGACAAAGAAACATTTTTGAAACTTCAGACACTGATTTAGAGTCGGTTCAACGAATCTTCTTCTTTCTGTAATAATTTAATGAAACTTAAAAGCTTCTGTGCTACGCGCGGGAGGGGGGGGGGTTAATCAAGGATTAAGAGTAAAAAACAGTACAACGAATCGTCTTCATTCTGTAATAATTTATTGAAACGTCTAAGCTTCCGCGCCGGAAGGGGGAAACTGGATTCAGACAGGATTAAGAGTAATAATTTAATGAAACGTCAAAGCTTTCGTGGGGGGGGGGGGGGGGAGGACTGAATTCAGACAAGGATTTAAAGTGGAAAACAGTAGAACGAATCGTCTTCTTTCTTGAATAATTTAATGAAACTTCAAAGCTTGCGCTCGGCAGGGGGGGGGGGGCTGAAAAAATAATTTAGCTCCTGGCCCCGGGTTTATAGGGTTAGATTTGTAGACATCGGGATTATTTGTCGGTAATTGCTAGTTTTGTCGGTAATCGGTGGCCTCTTCAAAAAAAAAAGGTCTATCGACGCCCTCCCGCTATCCCCACAAATAAAACACAATTCTAAAGTTCCCCCCCCCCCCTCCCTCTTACCCCTCTATGAGCATTAACTAGGCTCATGGCCGGTCCAACCATAATGTGTAGGTCCATCAGTCCTATTAAAAGCTACTTTCTACAAAAAAACATTATACTGTCGCATATACTAACATTTCTGAAATAGCAAACTCAGTCCTTAGATAGCTATGATAAGGTGCGGATCCAGGGGGCCGTGCAGACCCCCCCCCCCCTGTATAAAGAGAAATAGAAAGAAAGAATAATGTGACCTGCCAGTGTCACACAATAATGAGGTATCAAAATATGCTCATCTGACCGTGATCAAATGCCTAGGCCCGATGAGCTTCCGGGTGCTCTGCCCCCTGGCTGCCCATTATGACGGTAATTTAATGCCTAAACACCTTGAGCTTATAAGAGCTCCGCCCGATGGACCCCACACCAATTAGTGTCCTGCCAGTATCACAAAATAATGAGGTATAAAACAATGCTCATCTGACCGTAATTAAACGCCTAAAACCCCTGAGCTTCTAGAAGCTCTGCCCCCTCGACCCCACCAAGGCGGGCCCCTGAATACTTATCTGACCGTCATAAAATGCCTAAAAACCCTGAGCATCTGGGGGCTCCGCCCCCTCGACCCCACGCCAATTAGTGTCCTGCCAGTGTCACAAAATATCAAACTATGCTCATCTGACCGTAATTAAACGCATTAAACCCCTGAGCTACCGGGGGCTCTGTCCCCTGGACCAAAACAATAGCCCTAAGGCGGGCCCCTGGATGCTTATCTGACCGTTATTTATTGTTTAAAACCCCTGGATCCCTCACCACAAGTGACCTGCCAGTGTCACAAGTAAGGTATTAAAATATGCTCATCTGATCATTATTGAATGCCTAAAAATCCTGAGCTTCCAGGGACTCTGCCCCCTAGACCCCACCTAGGGCCCTAAGGCGGGCCCCTAGAAGTTCATCTGACGGTAATTAAATGCCTAAAACCCCCGAGTTTCTGGGGGCTCTGTCCCCTGAACCTAGCACCAATAATTAG